ATTTTATTATTATAACGATGAAAAATAAGAGCAGATAGGGGATTTTTTTTTTTTTTTAGCTATCGCAAGTTGAGCATTATTCTTTTTAAAGATAATTATTGAAACTTAAGGAAGGAGTTTTCCTCTATTTTAATGTAATTCTTAAAAATTAAAGTTTATTTTTAGATTATTATCGTTTATTATGAAATAAAACATTGAATTAAAAATAAACAATGCGTATTACTATCATTTACTATCATATCACTACTATCATATATCGTAAATGATAGAAATAAAAGAAATTATTGAGATCATAAAAAATTCCGAACCCGATGTTTCAATGAAAATTAAAGTTTTAAAGATTTCTGCCTCCAAATAACGAAGTCTCCTAAAATGGTATATGTGCAGAGGGGATCTACTGGTGGAGGGGGGGGGGGAAGCCTCTCGGGCTGAGGACTCTCCCAAAATGGTAAAATGTAACTATATTTTATAGGAAAAAATATTAAAAAATTATCTCATCAGTATTATTATTCTTGTACATTACATTTGAAAGGACTTCAAGAATCACTTAAACACCATTTCATATAGATGGTTAGTATATTTCTTTTTTTTTTCTAAAGTAAAAAAAGAGAATAATAAATAAAGGGCTGGAGCTCCCCAAAATGAAATCCTGGACCCGCTAGTATATCTTTGTGTATGTGTAATAGCTATAACTATTTTGATCAAACTCGTTATATCAGCATAAAATTAAATAGTCTTTATTATCAGGTAGGTATTAACTTGGATTGAAATAGTCTAGCAGGAATTTCCAGAAGCCTTTCATCAAATTTACCTTTAATTTTATTTATTTGAAATTATTACCAATCTCCGCTAGCGGATCCAGGATTTAATTTTGGGGGGCTTCAGCCTGAAAGATTTTTTTTTTTCATATACATATAACGATAATTAGTTTGAAAAAAAAGAAAGAAATTAACTACCTATATGAAATGGTGTTTAAGTGGTTCTTGAAGTCCTATTAAATGTAATTAAACGAACAAGAATACTTTAAGAGATAGTTTTTAAATATTTTTTTCTGTAAAACATGGTTATATTTTACCATTTTGGGGGAGGGTTCAGCCCAAAAGCTGTAAAAGTAAAAGCCAAAGGGCTGTAAGTGAAAGTTGTGTAAGGCACCATTGCACCAGATTTTTTTGATCGGGTTATATATTTTGAAAATTATATATTTTTAAATCTTCTAGCATTATATTTCATTGACTTGAATCCAGTTGAAATTATTAGAAGAGAAGGCAACAGCCCAACGTTTATTTCATACCGGGGTAATACTAGCAATTCGGATGCAATTCTGACTCACACAAATTTAAAAAATGACATTCACTGTTCTGTGGAACATGCTCCAGGAGAATTAGGACACAAGATATTAAAAATAATAATTAGGACCCATAGGACTATTGGACTCTCTGAACCTCGAATAGCCAAATGGAACTTGAAAAAAGCTAAATGGAAATTATTTTCCAAGATATGTGATTTAAAGTTAAATGAGCATGTAATACAAGGTAATGTTGATGTTATTAATAAGAAAATATGTGAAACAATCTTAAAATGTGCCATAGAAACTATTCTTAGAGGTTGCGTTAAGAAATATTCTCCTTTTTGGAATGCTCATCTGCAGAGATTGAAGTTCCCCATTCACTGCTACTGAGTTAAATTCAGCTATTGAAAAGATGCCATGTAAAAAAAGCGCAGGGCCAAGTAATATCCTTCCTGAATTTATAAAACATCTAGGGGAGTCTGCAAGAGCTATTCTCCTGCTGTTTATGAACAAGATCTGGAGAAAAGGCTTGCCAAGTGCATGGCGGAAGACTGAAATAAACCCTATTCCTAAGAAAGACAAGACTCTAAACAAACCAGAACACTTTAGACCAATCGCCCTCACCAGCATGCTCTCAAAATTGTTTGAACGACTAGTATTGTCTAGACTTTCTTCGAGAATTTCTTGCAAATTAAGCGAGCTATCTCTGACAAACAAGCAGGATTTAGAAAACACAGGAACACGGTGGAGCACATGGCATACCTTTCACATGAAATAAAAAATAGTTTCCACAGAAAGTAAAGTACATTGGCGATTTTTGTAGACTTTAAAGCAGCATTTGATAAAGTCTGGAGAGAAATGCTGTTAGTAAAAATTAAAAATATGGGTGTGGCAGGTAATATGTTCAAATGCATTTATTCTTTTTTGGCCCAGAGACATATCCGGGTAAAATATAATGGTGTAGTTTCACCTTATAAACAGACAAGAAGAGGAGTCCCCCAGGGTGCAGTTTTAAGTCCAATTTTATTCAACATAATGATTAACGATGTAATTGAAATACTAGAAGGTATTCCCGGAGTTCAAACACTTCTCTATGCAGATGACTTAGTTATCTGGGCTACTAGCAGCCACATGAAAGCAATCTAGTGCTGCTTAAATAATGTGTTAATATCATTACATAAATGGACGGTGGACAACCAGTTTGAGGTTAATACTCTCAAAACTCATTATCAAATCTTTACCCTCTCAACTAAAAGCCACGAAGTAGAAATTATATATAATAATGAGAAGCTGACTCAGACTGATTCTGCAACATACCTGGGTATAAAGTTAGACTGCAAACTTACTTGGAAGAACCATTTAGATAAATTAATTGAGCAAGGAGAAGGCAGATTAAGCTTGCTAAAAAGACTGGCAGGAATTAAATGGGGCGCACACGAAGAATTACTAACCCTGGCATACAAGTCATACATAAGGCCAGTAATGGAATATGGTGGTGAGATATTATTGAATGCATCAGAAAACTCACTGCATGCCTTGGAAGTGGTGCGTGCAAAACAAAGCTTTGAGACTTATTACAGGGGCTGCAAAATCCACACCAATTGCAGCGCTTCAGTTACAAACGGGAATAGAATCACTTCAAACAAGGAGAGAAGTGGCAGCAATCTGCCTTATAGAGAGAATGAAAAGACTAGGTTTGAAGTACTGGGCTGCTCAAGAAACATCTGCCTAGCGCCTCAAGACACAAAAACCACTAAGAGTAAAAGTTAGAGAACTACTGGAAAGAAATCACATAGATCTCGGCATGAGTCTTTCATTTAATAAATGTAATGACCATCAAAGATTGATTGCAGAGGCACAGCTAGATCTAACACAACCAGTAAACAAACGCCAAACGCCTGAGTGGGAATTGAAAGTGCTTGCATTGGAAACAATAAAAAGCCGCTATTCTGAGCAGAATTGGCTCCACGTATACACCGACGGCTCCGCTCAAGCAGCTACGCGGAATGCAGGAGCAGGAGTATACTGCCAATATTTCATGTTATCCATCCCTGCTGGTAGCCAGGGAACAAACTTTAATGGAGAAGTCAAAGCCATTTCGGCAGCATTGACTGAAATAGATAAAGAACTCACCTATTCCCGAGTTGTGATCTTTGTCGATTCACAAGCAGCCATACTTTCGATCTGCAATGGCCTGGACCATCCTGATGTCACTAGTGCCAGAAATCGGATTAATAACTTAATTAAAAAAGGAATCCGAGTGGCTTTCCAATGGGTTCCAAGCCACTGCGGGCTACTAGGAAACGAAAAAGCTGATGAGCTCGCACGGATCGCCTCGGAAATGACACAAACTAATCCCCTGCTGCCATACCAATCTGTTAAAAGGATTTTAAAATCATTTTACAAGGAAGAGAACAAGAGTTGGCAAAAGCGACAAGCAATGGGGAAAAAATGGGAATGTTTAACAGAGGAGCCGATGAAACAAACCAAAAATCGGAAAGAATCAGTGGCAAATTTTCGCATGGCAACAGGGCACGATTACCTGCAAAGGCATTTATATAGGAGTGGAGTGGTGGAAAGTCCTGTGTGCCCTCTTTGCCAACAGAATGAGATGTACGACCTGCACCTCTCAGTGTGCCCCGCTCTGTCAGATGTCCGCAGTACTTCTGATGCGATCGGAACAAATTTAAACAAAGGATTCATGGCAGAGTCGTATTGGGCTGCCAGGAGCCGAATGGCCTAATAGCCAATGGCAGAGGCGTTTAATAAAAAAAAAAAATTAAAAAATAAAAACTCCAATTTAACATGATGAATTACATTCATTGCATGGATAATATCCAATATTTATTTTTTCTGCTTTTTCATTATTTATATTCTGTATATATTGGCAACTTTAAGAAACCAACTGCTCAGCAAGAAAGCACACTGCAATCTCTGTAATACAAACTTTAATTACCTGAGCACACCCAGTAATCCAAACTAATTCTGAACAAGAAAACAACAAATTTTAGATAACTTCCTAAGCTCATGCCTATGCTAAAAAAAAAAAAAAAATGTAGTATACAGTTAAGCATGAAGATGCAGGGTTTCATTTCAATTTCTGTGTTTGATGAGTGGTGCGGAAGCAGACACAAAAGTCAAAACAAACAATATTAACTAATTTCTCTGTAATCTACTCTAAACTGTATATGACACTAGGCGAGCCTTCTGTATTTAGACAATAAACTTCAAATAAACATCAATAGTTGTTCATAACTAGTAATTTGGCTATTCTATCATTCGATTTAAAAACTATTTGATTCTATTTTTGAGAGAGACGATGCAAAGGAATTCAGGCAAGTAAAGAGTTGATAGAAGTTTTTAGTCAGAGAAAATACAAAGTTAAAATAAATAAATTATATTTATTTTTATTTCCATTGTGCTGACATGTGTTATTTTATACAGAAAGGAAATAAAAATAAGTATAATTTATTTATTTTCAATGACTGAAAACCACAATCAACTTCTCTTCAATATATCTGCTACAGTCAACTATCAATTCACTATCAGTTTATATATAAATACTTCTTTGTAACTGTAGAGGTATAAAAGCAGCTCTTTAAATATTTTCCTTTATTTATAGAGCACCCTAATAAGGTAAGATAAAGTAAAAATCTGTAAGCAATTATGCAGAGTAAAATTATTTTAAAAAAATGTAGAGAGAAATAATTGGTCACAGCAAAATATTCATTTTAATGAACAATTACAAAAATAGGTGATTAATGTGAAAATATTTATCCATTTACACATATTTCGAATAAAATATGAATACATAATACTCATTTTTTTTTAAATAATAAAATAACAATGAACATATTAAACAAGATACATAAAATATCACATAAAATGAAACATAAATTAATAAAATATTATAAAAATTCCAGAATTCAGAATTCCAGTTTTTTCTTGCCCATGGATCAGTTGGTTAGTTCAGCTATAGTTCCCGATGAAAAGATTTCTATCCAGTACCCATCTGGATCTTTAATAAATGCAATTCCTTTCATTTTTCCTGTTTAAAAATAAATTTAAAAAATCATTAAAAGTAAATAAAATAATAATAAAATTTTTATTACATTGATGACATATTTATTTTCTTAAAACATTTAATGTTTTTAAAGGTAATTTTCATGAGATTTGTTTTAGAATTTATGGTAATGGAACCCATGGTATGTCGCTGATGTTCAGTCCATAAACTGTTTCTAAAATAAATTAGTGATTAATAAGAAAAGTATTTGTTCTCATTTGTATTTGGAAAATGGAAGTGGCAACATCATGATATGGGCCCACTAACAGTACATTCATACACCACTCTCCAATCCCCAAGAGTTTGTTGTCTTTTCCTGAAGAAAAAGAACAATATTCTTGGCTCAAAGCTATTCACTGAGGAAATAAATAGTTTTAGCTTAGTTTGTATTGACCATTTTAATAATATTAAGAGAGATAATGCTACTGTTTGAACAATTAAAAAGTAGAGACCAAAATTAATGACAGATATGATTCCAATTGTTTACCCTAACCAGCCCCTCTATATAAATAAAAAATTATGTTTACTTAGAAAGAACCCATCTGTTAGATATGTGGAAATAAAACAAAGAGAAGCAAATTTTTTTTTCTCCAAAAAAATAGAAAATGACAAAATAAAAGATTTTAATGACCTTCAAATAAACATTGGAACAAAAATAAAATTTCCCATAGTACTATAAAATTCACCATGATGAAAATTATAGCCTACTATACCTTCTGTCAAACCTTGAAAAAAACCTAACATTTCACTTTCTGTAACAATAAAAAAATCTTTCCATCAAAATTTAAAAAAATGATAACTTAAAAACCATATATATTAAAAATAATTGAGAAAATTGGTTTGAATCCTGGGAAAGCTTAAATAGTTTGATTTTTTATCATCTTAGAACCTAGAAATGAACTCCACTTTTCAAAATCTTATTTTCCCTAAAATTTTAATCTTTTTTTTTAAGAACTTGTTACTTGGTTGGATTAAAAAAGGATGGAAAATTTATTAATAAATTATGTCAATAATAGAAGTTTTAGAGAATGAAAGAAAACAAATAACTTTAATTAATCTAAAAATTATATAAGCACAAAGAAAAATCACACTGAAGGGAATCATGTTATTGTTTAACATTAGAGGGAGGAGGTATTACCGTACAGTAATGGCAGCCATCAATAAATGCGGCAAACGAGAACACGAGGAATTTTGTTATTTTTTGTATTTGTTGTTCTGCAAATGGTTGTTCAATGAAATTATAATAAAGACATACATTTTAGTAGATACAAATTTTTTAATGACTTGATAATGAGCGAATCAGCTCAAAACGTCGTTGGAAGTAAAATAAAAAATTGTATAGTATAAGAGCTTATATATTCCTTGAAGACAACGTATATAAGAATATTGAGTGCTCTTGAAAAGTACTACTGTAGTAGCTAAATATATTTATCTTAAGATTTCTAAGAATGATTTTCATATGCTAATTTTCCTCACAGTTGAATTGAGTAGAATAAAAAAAGTGACATAAGATTAATGCAATAAATATTTTTTTAAAAAACAAAACAGACATTAAGTATAAATATATTTGCCATTATATAAAAACAAATAAAAAATAGTAGAACAATATATTTGCTACTGAAACTTGGAATATGGACGTTTTACTAGTACTCAGATTTATCTAAAAATATCCATAAAATATTTAACTTGATGCTAACTTTTTAAATTTTATTTAATGGGAAGCAATTGCATACTAAGGCGGAATAGAGAATATGTAATTCAAATATTCAGTTATAATGATTGTTTTAACAAAACAACTGTTACAATTTAAAATTAGCTAGATGTGTGTTTGTTTGCTTTTTAAAATATTTCTAAATAAACATGGAATAAGTATAATACTAAAAAATTCAAAATATTATTTCTTAAACAGTTATGTGTAACTCTGTTTTTATGAATAAAAAGTACTTACCATCATTAGGCTTCTTAACAAACTCTACACCAAGTTCTTCAAATCTTTCACAAGCCTTTTCGACATCATTTACATGGATTCCAATATGACCTAAAAAGTAACAAAATTACAAGTTTTTCCTGTGACAATACATAGTGCTCAACAATTAACCATTAAAACATTAAAGCATTACTACAGGATATCAAAGCAATGAACAATAAATTCACACAAGACACTTTTTATCAATTTACAAGATTAAATTTAAAACGAAATTGGAAACGTATTGAGTCAGATTCTGACAAAAAATATTACTTGAATTTGAGAATGAAATTGGATAATCATAAACGTTGCATCGCAATTTGATAATGAAGAATTGTTTCTTAACTGCGAGCTCAATTCATCTTTAAAAATTACAGCAATGCTTCAATTTAATTCTAGCATCATAATTACTCTTGTCTGTAATTATTGTGCTTGATGATCTGAATAAGTAGAGGGAATCATGATTTCCATTGGTTGGAATCATAAAAATTATGTTAATGTGAAGAAAGAGATGTCTAGATGGTGGTGGAAAATACAATAAAAAAGTGGAAACTATTAATTGGATGTCTTCAATAAATAATGACCACCATTTGATGTTTATCACCAAGATCCAGCCTGTTTCCTTCTTTATTTCATTAAGTCAACAATTACCAAATAATTACATTAATTTCAATATTTATTCATAACAATCTGATAAGTTGATTCATGCTGCGTATTTACACATCACTAGGAATGAACATTGTTGGGGGCCAGAACTGAACTAACCTAATATAACCATACTGTATATAACAAAGGATGAATTTCATCTCTTAAAATGATGGATAATTTACTAACAACCAATTTTTTGTCATCTCCGTCCACTACTGTACATGCCCAGATAGTTACACGATTTCATCTGCTGTGTGCTCAATGTAATTTTGAAACCAAACACCTTGAAGCATGAATTCAAAACTAGTAAACAAACATATAAATAAAGAAACAACATACCAAATCCTCTTGGGTCTGAATTACCATTATGGTAATCGCAATCTGGATCGCTCTCAGAACCCCAATTACTGGAAGAAAAATTTCATGAACACAATTAATAAAAATATCCACAGTTCTCAAAAAAAAGAAGAAAGAAATTAATAAAAATATTATAGAATGAATTTCAATAAAAAAGTAATAAATCACAAAACAATAAAGCATTAAATAGATAAACAAATGTGGTCTAATCACATATCATATCAAAGGTATTTCTTAATTTAAGATATGATAAATCTTAATAGTAATTGGATATATATAAATAGGAAATTGAACCATTAAAGGGATAAGAAAATTAGCTTTTAGGACAAGATAAATAACAATTTCTTCTTCTTCTTTTTCTTAATCTTGCCCTCTTCTACCGCAGAGCAGTGTGAGGGGTATAACAAATTTATCGTTACTAATGGGCCACAGCTGAAACTTATATCTTAATTTTCATTTATTTCATTTCATAAAAATTATGGGAAAAGCGAAGATATCTTATAATAGATATCTTGTAACTACTAGAAAAGAATTGCGATTCTATGTCAAGTTCAGGATTTTAATAAGTTCATCGATTGAAAATAAAGTAATGAAAATATATATGAGCTTCATATATTATTAAACCATTTAAAAAATACTTACTGGGTCAATTCTATTGTTGCCTTTCTTGATAAAGCCCACTTAGTTCTTTCGACATTATCAGAAGGTATGTCATTAGGATTCTCATATCCCATGAAATAGAGAGTAAATTTCAAAGGAGCTATATCAATTTTCTGCAACAGCTTCATACCTAATACTCCGGTATAAAATGGAATAGTCTTTCTCGGGTCCTTGATCCGATACATTGTCTGCTGCATAATAAAATCCTAATAAAAAATAAAATTAATTTTTAAACAACGAAATTGAATTAATTGTAGTATGAAAATTCAATATTATTACTTTCGTAGATTCATCAGAATTTTTACATAAAGCTTGAGCTTCTTCGTTGGTCAAACCAATCAAATTATCCCCCATTGTATTTCAAACTACAACGACAAACTTAAGAAATATCTGGGACAAGATTAATTATACTAAATAATATATACTAAAGCCGGATTAAGAACAAAAACGTATACTAAGACCGTTTTAGATTACATAAGCCCAATCAATGAATGAAATTCAGCTACAAGACAATCGATATTAGAGACGAGTTGAAAATTAATGGACTGGTCAAATAATTTATTACCAAGTGACAGTTATTCATTTCAAAGTGATATAAAACAACCCTGTAACTACGGGCAAGTTTCTAAACTCAGTGCTGAGCTCATTGATGCATCGGACCCGTCTCTAAACGGAATATAATATTCACCCATTTTTTGGTGTAAGATATGTATAAACCAACCAAAATTTTTTACCTCTTATAATCTCAAATTTGATTGATTTTAATTTTATTTCTGTCATTAATAAATATAAAATTTATATTTATAACATTATGGTATTCATTTGTTGAGGATACCGCAATCGTAAACCAAGGGGTCTGCGGCAATAACATTTAATTTCAATATTTAACATTTTAGGTCAACATTTTCAATTAGGTAAATTTACATTATAAAACAGTCAGTCAGCATACGTATTGGTATCAGCGTGCGGCTATGTTTTTCGGGTTAAGCGCAGTTTCCAACCGTCACCGAGACTGGGCCTCCTCCAAAAGCTTTCGTGAGTCGATATGATCAGCTGCAGCAGCTCTCCAGTTTCGGATTCCCAGTAGAGCCCGTGCGTCCGATGTCACTGAGTCCTCCCTCCCATCTTACATTTGGCCTGCTAACCTTTCTTTGTCCAAGCATCTTTCCGGACAGCATTTTCCTGGGTATCGCCAATCATCCATGCGGCTCATCGAAGTCGTCCTGTCTTTATCAAGACTTATAAATTTTGTAAAGTTCATCAACTTCACCAAGTCTATGTCCTTATAAAAGCAAGCGAGTTCGGCATTTTTCCTTCTCCAAATTCCACCCTCTCTAACAGGACCAAAAATCCTTCTCAAGATTGACCTCTCAAAGATTAGAAGTCTATTTTCATCTTGCTTCTTAAAGGCCCATGCTTCTGATCCATAAGTTAAAACAGAGCTGAGGAAGGTTTTGTAGAGAGTGATATTGATCCTGCTAGAGAGGAACCTGCTTCCAGAATGCTTCGAAAGGCTAAAGTAGCACCGTCTTGCCGATGCTATCCTTCTGTTGACTTCTCTAGAGATGTCGTTTTCGGAGTTGATATCAGATCCGAGATAGACCAAAGCTGCATACCTTTTCGAAATTATATGTTCCAGCCACAAAAGAACCGGTCTCTGGCCCATCTCATCTGATTCTCATATACTTGGTCTTCATTAGTGTGTAGTCCAAGTTTCTTTGCTGCATCTTCTATGGCCAGGAACGAGTCTCTTAATGCAAGTTCCGATCTGGCGGCAATATCAAAGTCATCAGCGTACCCAAGAAGCTGAACGGTACTGTTAAGACGGGTTGCGTGGAGTTGGATTCCGGACATACGTACTGCTTTCTCTACAGCGAAGTTAAAAAGAAGACAGGCTTGAGCATCTCTCCGTCTTACACCCCAGTTAGTACGAAAGTCTTCCGAGAAGTCACTTCCTACTCGTACTACACACTTCGAGCCTGAAATCATCATTTTCACGAGCCGTATCAGTTTAATTGGAACGTTCATTATCAACAGGGCCAGATAGAGCTCCGGCCGAGTTACACTATAGTAGGCGGCTTTAAATCAACAAAGAGGTGATGGGTAACTGTTCTATACTCTTTACGTTTGTCCAGCATCAACCTCAGTGAGAACAGTTGTTGTTCCAATGTGGACTTCCCTTGCCTAAATCCCGCTTGATATTTGCCTATCTCTCTCCCTCTCGGCATGAGGAACTAGTCTCTCAAATAGTATTTATAAAAGCAGATGGAGTGACTAAATTTTTATTGCTTACTGTCGATATATTAAATAGACTTTTTGTAATTGTAATGGTCTTAATGACTTGTTATCTGTAAGCTTTGAGCTTTAGCTCTGTTTAAAATGCACTTCTAAAATTTTATAATAGCCCAGCATTACCAGAAAATAACTTCTATTCAAAGTAGAGCGGTAAGTGAAAGTTGTGTGTTGAGCGCACCAGATTTTTTTAGTTTTAATTGTGATATAAAATGTTTTAATAATTGGCTTTTAGGAGGTGAGGGCGGCAAACCAGGCTAAGGTGATTGCAATAGGTAATTGAAGTTGCAACAAAGTTAAGCAATATCCTATGTAGTAGGTACTTGAATGGATGACCCTTCACTGTGGAAAGCCATGCAGCTCAAAATTCCCAGAACTATTACCATTTTGTCTATGTGGGGTCCATCAGTCTACTGAACACAATTTACAGCAAACTGAGAGTAGATTTGATGACCCTGGGATCGCGATGTGATTTTGCAGAGTCTCATTGGAGGTTTGATTTATGGACAATCTGTTTGGAGGAAAGAAATGTAGGACCAGAGGAAGATGTTAGGAAGGACATAGTCATGCCTTGGACAGCCTGATGTGCATTGCCTTGCCTTTGAGACATAAGAGTGTTTATAGGAGTGAGATGTTATGCATGCCTGTACTGGGACCCACTAATATATTTAAAGCAATTTACATTTTTTATAACCAGCCCTGACAATTCTGCCTCTTAAGAGGAAGGTCTAAGTCTTGGCAGTAACCAACCTTAACCTGCCTCAGCAGCATTTAAAAGCTACAAACACCAGCTGTCTAGTAAACTTACCAAATTCTTATAGGAATACTGTTTGGGCACTTTGATGACTCGTCAGCCGATGAAATCATCCCAGGACTTTTATTTTTTTTTTTAAGCAACTGGTTAACCCCCGCTTTAGTTGGAACAGCCAAAGAATGTCTCACGAGTTCATCCGAGTGTTCCACACTTTATTCTACAAAGGATTGTAGGAAACAACAATGTACATCATCGCAGACATGCCTCTAATTGATTAATTTATTGTGAGCAAAACCAGATCCACCAAACGTGGGAATGACCAGCGGTGTCAAAAGAAGAAATAATTTTTATTCTTAAAAGATGGCAGAGACCCAAGGATGCATCATCTTCTGTTGGTTATTATTCTGTGAACAGAAAAGTCATAAGTCACCACCCACTGCATGATTCGCAACATTTTGACATGGATGAACCTCCAAGCATGGGGTGAGGGTTATTACCTTACCCAACTGCTTACTAGGCATGTTTGCATCATTGGATCTATTTAGAACACATTAAGCTGGAGGAATCAATGGATCCTATTATACTTAACGCAGTATAACCAAATAGTAAACTAAACGCATTCTTCACCAATACAGGTTTCATCAAAGAGAAGAGCAGACATGTACATGGGGCAGAGGTCAAACCTGGAAAAGCTAAGTCACTGATAACGACAAAGCAGGAGAGTTGAAGTGCAGTTGCAGACTGTGCAACACAAATTGAGAGCAAACTCAAATAACAGGAGTGAGAAAAGAGATTCCAGACAATGGCTTAATAAGAATTCTTGCTTCTAGCTAAGTAATGCCTGACAGTGACTGTGGATATGCAACGAAGAATAAGATTTTTTTTAGTGGGTAGAAATATTACTATTGTGGATTTCTAGTCACACTTTTATAAAAGATTTTCCGCTACTCCAATTTAAAAAAGTTTTTTTGCGAGACTATAATACTTGGATTTAGGGTACCTTAAAACATGAAATTCCATTTTAAATTCAGATTAAAAACTTTTACCATCACAATACTTTCAAAAATAGACAATAATTCAATATGTAAATAATAAAAATAGAACAAAAACATTATTATTTTGTATTAATACAATAAAAACATTTTATTCATTCACCCTTTACCATCTAAATAAAAACAAAATAATTATTTTATTAATTACAGTTGAACTTAAAAATTCTCGTTAAGTACAGTAATTGTTATATACACAGTTTTGAATTTCGATGGTCTCAGTATCCATAGTAACTTACCGATTTGAATCCTCAGTTATTTTTATTGATCATGTGGGTCGAGAAAGTGAATAAAGAAGTAGTTTTCATCCCTTGGTTTCTCAAATCATCTGGTCCACCATTTATAATCTCAATTAAATGCTGTCATTTTTTATCAAATGAAAATATACTTATAATATTTTTATGAACCTGAGTATACTTAACAATTGATTTGTAGAGGTACAAATCTATGTTATTACCTTGCATAACTATCAAACCTTTTCTGAAATTCCCCATGCAATTTGTATATTTACTTCTGATGTTATAAGGTTAAATTGTATGCCTCCTTTCTTCAGCCGTTAAAGTTTGATTTTCTTTATTTTATCCAGTTGACTGTTGAAATTATAAGGATGAAAAAAATTGTCAGGATTTGCAGTGACATTTTTTTTGGTTTGATTTGGTTCTTGTATACCTTTCAGACCAATAATGCCCTGATGATAATCCAAATGTTTGGGTCAAAACGTCGGCTAACCCATTAAAGAAATATTTTATTACAAATCCTGACAATTTTTTACATCCTTGAAAATTATTCAATACATTTGTCAACATTCTGATTATAACACCACAAACATACGTAAAAAATAAATTAATTGATTGTAACTATCATTGGTCAATTTGATATTGGTTAACTCTTAATAGTATTTTTAAAAAATATGAAATTAGTTTTTTTCTTACATTTCAATCACAAAAATTATAGCAAAATCTTAAATTTTCATCTGTAACATCCAACTTAAAAGAGAATTACCTGAAAATAATCCCAATCTTCCTTAAGACAAAGACAAAAATACAAATTATTTTAACATAAATGAAGTGTACTCTAGAGCTATAACACTAAAATGAACAAACAATAAATTTTAAAAAAGTTCTTATTTATATAAGAAACCTTATATAATGTAATATAAATATAAATATAAATCAACAATTTAAAATAAATATTAGATATTTACAATAAAATATTAACTTTCTTTTTCCGAAATAGTTCCTATGACAAATTACAAATAATAAATGGGGAATGATGGTAAAGATAAATACAATCAATCGTGTTTTTGGGTTTTTATTTTAAATATTTTTCTTAAAGTACACAAAGGTAAAATACTCTTAAATTCACACGTTATAACTTAACAATTGCATTATCGCGACTCAGATATTATATTATATATATATTACATACATATACATATATATATATATATATATATATATATATATATATATATATATATATATATATATATATATATATATATTACATATAGAAATCTATTTACACAAATTTATTTAATTTAAATATTTACACATGACTTGAACACAGAAAAAGGTCACTAATTTTAGCCATATAAACTCTGTCTCTATGCATGATTATTTCAAGTTGTTAACTAGTGTTTAAGCGTCTACTATAAACTTTAGTCATTCAATTATTTCATATCTTAACAAAATTATTATTCTTTCAATTCTTCTTGAAATTATTAATCATTCTGAATAAACAATTCTCTTTTTTTAAAGATTCAAATATAAAAAAATAAGTAAAAAATTCATTTATTATGAAAGTTGAGGAGGCTGATTCTCAATTTCATACATACTGTTTCAACATATGATTATAATGAATTTTTTTAAAATTTAAATATTTTTCTTTTTTTTTTAGACTATACACAATAAGAAATATCTCCTATCTGATAAGAACAACAGGATTGTTATTTAGCACAAATTAAAAAAAAAAATAAACACACAATGTGAGCGGCGACTTCTTTTAAGTACCTTGTTAAGATCTTTCACATTTCACTTGGTTAATAAGGGAATTGCAAATAATTACATTACAAACTTTTAAAATTTCACAAATCAACAGAGTTGAGGCAGCAATAAAGCAAATTAACATTAAATCGAATGCAACAAAAAATAATTTGACAGAAGCAAATATAACAATATAACATTAACTATTAGTCTTTCCCTCATCTTATTAATATCATAAATAGCCAGTACAAAAAGTACATGATCAAACAATTATGCAAAATTTTTACAGAATTGATTTCTGATTTTTAGTCTCACGACATCATCGTTAACAGAGCTTAGACAGCAATGATTCAAATGTAATACATGGAATTAAAACAAAACAGAAAAATAAAATAAAGTAAAACAAAGTTTACAGTAGCTAATAAATTATCATACAAGTTGATTATTAGTCTTTCCCTCTTTTTACATATTATCATAAATATCGAGCACAAAAAGTACCCAGAGTTCTATGCTAGGCCTCTGTCTGATGACAGGTTGCAATTTGGTAAAACAAAAAAAAAAAAAAATTACCTACTGGCAGAGATCTATTCTTTTCGACCCACCCCATTAACCTAACAAATCGAGATAACAATGAGAAACGCCTTTAAGAAGAAGTTTTCCCTAATAACAAATTAAAATAATGATTTCAAAACACAACAATTTTTTTTTACAATTCCATATTTTTATAATACGGATAATTCTCATTTATATATAGTGCCAACAAACAATGCTGACAGCTTTAAGAAATACAAAAACCGTCTTATCAATAAGGAACTTCTATTTTAAACAGAAGATGGGTAAATGTTTAATATCATTTGGTGTTTACCGAAAAGGTATATAAGCCTAGGAAAGGATATATCACACTTTGTATACAACTTCATGGGAATTCATTCACGAGTTAAACCGTGACCAAAACAGATCAACTAGAATGAGTGCTTATCGTATTTATAAATATTTAAATATATTTATTTATATATACCTATTTATATAAATTACAACGTGGGTTATGTACAGAGATTTGTTGGGGGTCACTTATCCGCAGGAACGTGTTGTTCGACTCCACTTGTTTTCTGGTAACCCCCACTATAGTCCAACCTATACTGCCCTGAAAAAAAAAATAAAATAATAATAATAAATACATGATGAAATAAAAACAAGAAAAAGAAAAATTAGAACTAATCTATGTTCCTTGGCATCTAAAAATGTAAAATGTGATAGGAAATTTTTAATTCTGAAAAAAAAAAATTTTAGAAGCTCCACTTTCGGTAGTAAAATTGAGGTGAAAATAAAATTCTACGAACATTTTTAATTAGATTATTGGGCAAAAATTTCAAGTTTTCAAGTACATTTATGTTTAGGACTATTTTAGATAACCAGAAACTCAAAGGAAAGATTAGTCATTGCTAGAGGTTAACTATTTTTATGTGGTTCACAGCATAAAATGAAATGATAAATCTATGTTTACACACTTCATTTACATATGCACGATTTAAAGTTTACAAGCTTGGTTTTACATGATAGGATTTTTGTTCCCGACAAAATGAACAATAAGTAGTAGCATGTAAACCTGCCTTGAAGTACAAAAAAGCTTTTTCTAGATTTCATGGAACTAGATAAGGAAAAGAAACCTACTACATACAAATTCTCATATTTTATACACATTGGTTGGTTGGCATGCATTAATGGAAATTAAATTATTATGTTAAAAATTCATTTCCTATACACGGATTTTGCATGGGAAACATTTTTAAAATGTTTAAAAAGCCTTTCTGAAATGTTAATAAAACTATTTTTTAATTATAAAATAAAATCTTCAAAAACTAATAGGGACTTGAGGCTGAGGAAAAAAAACACATCTGTTTAAAAATATTTTTAAACATTGCAATCTGACAGATTAAACTTGATAAACTTATTGGAGATATTAAAAACAATTATATACAAGTTTATTTATCACTGACAATATATACATGTAAGTAAAATATGAGAGAAAGGAAATTGATTAATTAATTTAAAACAAAACTTATTCAATGTCGAAGGCAATGGTGGGAGAGAGTATCAAGAAAGATTCCACAGCCATTCTAGAGTCAGAAGCAGTTTAGAATCTATTCAGGAACTTGAATTTTATTTTATTTTGGAACAGAGAATAAATTTCAACTTTCTAACTTACAAAAGAATAAGTTGTGTAAACTTATTCCTGTTACACTCGTTTGAGTTATGGGTGTAACATCCAAATACAAATTAATTTTTTTACTTCTTGCAGATAATTTAATCTCATGATACCCAGATAATTAATAATAATTAGACAATTGAGTAAAATTATAAATAGATTATCTACATTTAGAAACATATCAAGAGATAAATACCTAGTTTTGTCACTTCTTCTATTGTAGCTTCGGGACAGTCAATAGCAGAATGACTTTGTGAACCACAATTATAACAGGAAGTGGGAGGAGGCTGATGAGGCTTAGGTGGGACCTGAGGCTGCTGCTGCTGCGGCGGCGGTGGTGGCTGCTGTAACACTTGGCTCCCTTGCGGTATGCTATAGCTAGCTATGGGGAAGCCACCTGGAGGTGGTTGGTAAGTATATACAAGTTCGCCATTAGGCTGTTGAAATGGTGCATATGGTCTCATGAAACCTGCCGCACCACCACCAGGAAAACCTCCTGGATATGGTGTCCTTACATACTGGTGAGGCAGGTATCCATGGGGCGGGTAGAAACCACTTGTAGCTGGGTCAGCATTTCCATTACCGCCAGCACCATTTGACATATTAACTTCTCTCCGCCTAAAAATGGGAGAGAAAATATTAAAATATCATTTTAGAAATAAACTTATTTTAATAAATTATGAATATTATATATATTCAATAATACACTTAGTATAATTGGAGTCTATATTTTGAGTTTATTGCAAAAAGATATTAAGTAACATTTCATTAAATTAAATGATCAAGTATAGTGCATTTAAGTTAAGTTTGCTTGTAGGGGAAGGGAGCTAGAGCAGCTTTTTCCCACTCAAGTTCCACTTCCCCTCTTCTCCATACCAACCACCTTATTCTGGGAAGGCGTTATTCCATTTTCTTTAAATTTCCCACTAATGTTTATTAAAGGTAGAGATTTTAATTAAAAAATAAAATAATGAAAAATATGGTTAAATAATCGAATTGAAAAACATATATATACATATATATATATATATATATATATATATATATATATATATATATATATATATATATATATATGAATTCACAAGATCTACTGTTCACAGAACTCAATGTTATTACTAGAACACGGATCTGTAGATCTAAATTTACCAAGAAATAGATGGAAAATATAGAAACCCTAAAATACTACGTCATCGGATATTCAATAGTGAGGAGAAACCTTTTGAACTATTTTACGTAACGTGTCTTTATTCCCACTGAAATTAATTTCTCTATTGATTTATTTTTATTTAAATTTATAGTAAAATATTTTTCAGATGGTAGTTTTCTATCAATTATATGAAAATTAAACACAAGTCTGCGAATTGCTTCTTTATCAAAGTTGTCAATATTTACTTTTGTTTTATTTTTGGTCCGTTTCTTGGCTGGAGTTTCAAAACAAGATTTATCACCCCTCTTCTCTAAAGCTTCACTCTCTTTTATGACGTTTCTCAAAGTGTTTTCTGAGACACCAGAGAAACTCTTTTCATAACAGAGAAGACATGGATTGGACCACTGTCAGCATCTGTTTTCATGAATTTATGTAAGTTCAAAATTACATTTTTTCATAAAATTACATTCTGAGAGTCTTCCCTTTATCCAGTTTACTTGACATAGTAAAGCAAACATTAACAAAAGAAATGGAAAAAAAAAGATGATAAAAGAAATTTCTATGTGTAAACAAAAATTTAGAAGTATATAAAAATGAGTAGAGAAAACAAAAGAGTGGGGAATAGATGGGAAAATGTTTTTTCACTGCGCATCTCTCTGTCCCACTGCCCAACCGCAAACTTATCTTAGATAGTCTAAATTGATAAATTTTCTTTCAGTGAAATCAGAAAATTGTGTAAACAATTTTGATTTATAATAGAGTTTATGGCATCCATATATACGCCGTTTATATCACTCGTGTGTTTTTGGAGCGAAAAATATACTTAAAGTTCAGCAGCATCAAAAATGCACTTTGCAAATTTTTGTAATAAACCAGTGATATAGTATATCTATACAACCTCATGACTAATAACACTATTTATATCACTTTAAAAGCTCAGCAATGCAATTTTGGCATTGATTTTTTTTTTTAATTACCATTTTAAATAACTTTTAATGAGTGTACATCGCTAAGTCAAAAATTAGACACAAATTATTTAAGAACACCCATGTCCATTACAGACTTCCTGCATTTATAAAATGTTCAACTTTCAGGGTCTAGAAACAACGGGAAATTACATGGTATCCTAGTTTATCTCTAAAATGCTTCTGTCTGGACAAGTAGTATCCACCACTGAGTCCACTACTTTTTTTTCCAAATTGTAGGATTTTTAAGTTCAATGCTAAATACAAAAAAAAAGAAAAAAAAAAAAAAGCTGGTACACAGTAAACAACTTTGGAACAAAAGATTAATATTGTTGTTTACATATATTGCAATACTCCCTAAGAAATGTATGTCTTTTCAGATATAATATCTCCTTCATCTGAGTTCAGTGCATGGGTAGACCTGAACCCCTAGATTGCCAGCCTGAGGTAATTGACATGATCAATCCTCAGCCAGAAAATATGTTATCGCAGATTTAGATTAGACTAATTTTGATACAATAATGTTGAAAAATGGGGATGGCAGATTTCCAGGGAATCAGATGATGAACATACATTACATGAAAACATTAATGAAGGACAAATACAATTATAGTAACATGTTAAAGCATTATTCAAACAGAAGGTAAATTACATGTGGTTGCTACCTTTGAAGGTAAGAAAACAATTCTGAATTATGAGCACAATGAAGAGGATAATATTAATGATTCTAATATGGTATATAACATAGCACCATGAAAAATGATGTGGGAATTGAATAACTTTTAAATTCTATAAAGACCAATCAGACTAATTCAGGAACTGAATCAAAACAGCCTTATAGATGTCTCAACAAGATAACTCCTCAATTGCTTCAAATCAGGCCAAGATGCTGAATGAAAACTTATCAACCATGGAAGAAGACATCACATCATCAAAATTCATTCTTGAATGTTCAAAAAGAAAGATCACTAAAGTTGAATATAGAATCATTGAAAAATCGAACGATGAAGACCATATGGTTAATGCAATGAATCTTTGCAATCTACTGAAGTCCGTATTTGTTGAAAGTAGTTGAGAAGCTGAAGTATTATTAACTACAAAAATATATATAATACAAATTTTCTCTACCGTTTATTTTTTGGAAAGTAAGGTTAATGATATTACCAATTTTCCATTAGTATTGATGTTCAGTGTTAATTATACGTTTTCTGTTCATTAAAACATTAATGAAAGTGGTTAATAATATTAATAGATGAGGCAGTGTAAGAAAATTGTTAATTGTGATAATATATTATTATATAAGCATCTCAAGAATTTAGGATTGATGTTTTTGATTTAAGGTTTAAAAAAGAATTTTGAAATTTTCGGATGTATGTCCATTATTGGTGGGAAGATTGCGTTAAAGAAGATCTGAAGGGACTGGGTTTGGATGGCAAATGGTGGAGAAAAGTGTGTAATAAGCGAATGGTGATGTATGCATCCAACCTTCGGGTTCGCTAAGACTTTTGTTACTATCATGTCCATTATTGGTACTGACCCCCGACCATCGCGAAAAAATTTAAATTTTTGAAATGTCCACACAAGCTAGTACAAAAACGGGTTTTGATAAATTGGAGATTAAACCGACAAAACTGAATATTTTTTCAAATTTATAGAAAGATACAAGAAAAGGAGATACTTCAAACTTTTAAAAAGATATTTTAAAGTTCCAGACCTTAATCACAAAGCGGCAGTAATAATAGAACAATTTAATTTAATACTTATGTACCTAGGAATGGATATATAAATTATATTTAACCAAACAATGTAACAATTTTCAGCTTCAATTTTATTACAACTAATTGAAAAAGTTAACAGAACATCAATCAAATAGTTATCTTGATTTTAATCATCAAAGTCAAATCATCCATCATTTTGTATTATAACGCAAGATAGGGAAAAATAAATGAACTGAGAATTAAGGAAAAAAATAAGGCTATAATACTGATTAGCCTGCAAATGTGGCTGAGAGTCAAAAATCCAAGCAGACCTGTTGGGCAATTGTCCGCACAACAAGCTCCTTGTCACCCGGCACAATTATATAAAGCATTGTATAGCAGAGGTTCCTGAAAATAAAGAACTATAATTGTTTACTCAAAGTTTATTTGCCTGGATATAGAAGGCTCAACAAGGTTCATTGATATTTTGGCATTCAAGGTGACAGAAAAGGAGGCACTCATAGTAGATCCCACGATCAGATTTGAAACCAACAATCAGGATCAGGACTTCAACGTACAGACAGAGAAAGAGGAAATTTATATTAAATGCATATCTTACCTGAAGAAAAAATACAGAGATGAATTCGGCAAACGAGAATTCTCAGTTAAAGGGCTACGGTTCGGGAGAAGGGAAAGCATTCTACTTTATACAAGTAATTTCTTGCAGAGGCTCGGTGTTGGAAGGGAGCAGATGCAGACCATGGCAGAAACTATTATTTTAGACTCGTTCTGTAAACCGTTCTTGGCATATCTGATATGTATTCTATTGGTCTGACTTTCTTACATATTTTTTTACATTATTATCTATTGATTGATGAGTATGCTGTGTTATTTAGCAACTCAACACGGTTGAGCAGCCTTACAAGGTTGTTGTATTTCTCTTGTATTTGAAACCTCCTAATTAAATTTTTATAAACCAATGTTTTAAGTGAATATTGAAATTTGATGAATTTATTATTTCTCGGCTGTTTTAAGAATAAGAACAATAAGAACTTTAGTGAATTTTCGAACTACAAGACTCAAAAGTACTTTAGAAAAAAAATATGTTAGGATTTGGAATTTTAGTGGTAATATTCCATATGGATAAATGTTTTAACAAATAAGTACCTAGAATCCGGATGGGGACCCCTAGCTCTAGGCACAGCGGGACGACCAGGAGGGTGGTGCCTGCTTCTCCCCCGTCCACCTCCTCTCCTTTCTTCTGTTCCTCCACCTCCACCCCCGCCAACAAGGCGTTCATCCTGAATTACACCTTCAACTAAAAAATAGATAATTCATATTTACTCTCAATAAAGACAACCAGATCAAATTAATTTTAATACAAATAGGTTATATATAATTTTTATTACAAAATCTTCGGCATAAAATAACTATTGAACTTGCTGGAATTAGGCTATTAGTTAATGAGTAGACAAGTTAATCACGAGAGATTCAAACTGATCCAAGAGTAAAACACATAACCAGTATACAATAAAAATTAAAAATATGTCGATTATGGCAGATGTTAATACTTCATTCTTGTAAATTTTAGAAGTGATTTTGATAATATATGTACATCAACTATTGTTCAACAACAACTTCAGATTGTGTTACTGGCATTTTACATTGTATAAACACCTACCTAAGTTGAAAACTAAAACTAAATCCGTGATTAAATGTTAGCAATTAGTTGGTTTTAAATCAAAACCGCCTAAAAAAAAAGTATATATATATATGTATTATAACTGCAAAAAACTTTACCATGAGGAGGAGGAGTGCCTGGTGAAGATTCGTCAGATGAGCTTGGCTCAGATATCCTCATCTGCCTAAAGTCAAGTTGCTGATGTGGTACTGGGTAAAAAGGTTGGTATTTTCTAGTATTGGCTGGAAGTGTATAACAAGAAAATACTCCTGTTGGGTACAATGTCATAGGTTCGGCTGGATATCGCCTGATTGTTTGTGTCTACAAAAAAAAATTAAATAATAATACATACAAATTTTATTTAATAAATAAAACTCCATTCAATATGAGGTAATTATTAAATTCTAAAGATAGATATTTTTAAGTGATATTAAAAAAATTAAACCAGCAAAAACATCCTATATTTTTTAAGAATATATATGTATATACACACATTAAAATGTATTAGTGAATCACTGTTTTTTTCATAAACCATTTTATTGATTGTAAAAATATTGCTCGTGATATTCAAGAAGTATGTGAACAATATCATATATTCAGAATGAGCAATTGCAACAATGTCATAAACCCAGAGAAAAAATAGTAACACTATCATAATCACTTCAATATTTATCTGTCTAATTAAAAGTAACAGCTTATCAAAAGATTTAAATTTCAAATTCTTCAGGTAATATATCACATGACATTCAAATTAAACAATTTATTCAACTATTAATATTTCTAAAAAAAGGCCTAAATTAACAGAAATAAATTTTGTTTTAGAATATATATATATATATATATATATATATATATATATATATATATATATATATATATATATATATAAATGTGGGTGGTGTGTGCATCATCACAGGCACTAAACTCAGAACATGTCTTCATCACATTAATTAATACGACACCTCCATTACTCTGTCTTGCACCAGGATCTGCCAAGCTCTAGAGACCAGAAGCATCTCTGCATCAGCTTCATCAACCTCATCTCATTTCTCAGCCTGTACTGGGTATCTTCTTTTACAGAAATGAACATTTTCTTTTTCTTTCTCTTAAAAACCTGTAAGCTGATGGCATCTGTAGAGATAAGAGCGTGATATAGTGTTTTTAAGATATATGTCAATACAGGTCTATTTAAAAATGTTTATAGAGCAATCTTAGTGAATCTCGTCACCAAATGGCACAAACTTGGAACCCTATTGGCAAGCATATATTTGGTCTTAGTTTGGTTGATTCTTAGATCCATTTATTGTTCACTTGCCTCTATTGCTGAGAAGGGCCTTCTTTTTTAAGTCCCTCTATGACATCCACATAGATAGATAAAATCTGAACTGATTTGGTGAGAAGCGTACAACTTCTTAGCACTTCGGAGTACCTTGTCACCGTTTCCATGTAGTAAACGAAATTCTATATAGTATAAACGTAATTAGAGTTATATAATATACATATATTTTTTATTATTTATTTTGCCTCTACCACTAAGGTCATTGGCATATTAATTCACCATTATAAGCTGTTATAAAATTTTGTTAATCTTAAGTAGTCAACATTTTTTCTTTATCTCCTTTTTATCATCTTGGAGGATATCTTCCATTGCCGTTCCTCACTTTAAGTTTTCTCTTATCTGTTACTGTCCTAATGACTTACCAGTTATGATCGAATTGCACTCATCACTCACATTGAATGTTTCCTATTGGTTATTGTAATAATAGTATAAAGAGAATAGGTTATAAAGAACAACTTCACAGCAGACAGCGATTTTAATATAAAATATATCTACAATAATTTTTACATTTACAACTTTTTTCACAACAACCACCCACTTTAATGAAAAAATAATATCAAGAAAAATCAATAAGATACCTGTTCAAGATCAGAAGGTGGCTCTATCTTTTTCTTGACATCTGTAGATCCAATACCATTTGTTTGGCGATTGAGAATTGCTCTAAGCTGAGCAACTGCATCAGGACCAAGTCCTATCTCCCTCAAGTCACCATCTCCCATCCGTGAAAGCTACAATATATAATTAAACTGTTACAAGTATTTTATTTCGATATGAATTTCATATCTCATTTAAATATTGATGCGATTTTATAAAATCTTACAAGCTCCAAAATGTCAGCAGTAAATTATTTTTTGAATAGTATTGGTAAAAAGTACAAATTTTTGCCACATCTTCTGTTACTTATGCAGTAAAAACAACTTCTTACCTTTTAATTAATTTTTTTTTAAAACAAAATGGAGCTCAGAATAGCTGTATGTAAAATGATGATGGAAATTCATAGTTATCATGACATTATTCAAGTCTTTAAAAATCCTAACACCGAGAAAGAAGATATTGATGAATAAGGTAAATAAATATTAACTAACTGAACAATAGAAGTTAGATGGAAACAATTTATATTCATCGGATCAATTAAGGTATAAACCTTATTTAAAGCAGAATACAATAACATTATTAGTATGCTATTTACAAGCATTCTATTTCGTTTATTTATCAAGCCAGTTCTTTTAATTCTTCCTCTCGCCCCCAAAGAAGCAAATAAAGCAGTGAAAAAGTCAAAAGCTTAATAAAAAAATCAAACAAAATTAAATTAATTAAAAATCTCAAGTGAGTAATGATTGACTATTGACATTACTCCTAAGAAAATATGAGATAAAACTGACTATAGAGGCTGTTTAACAATCCTTAACCATCTTTAAATTTGATATTTTTCAATTAATAACAATTAACTGCGGAACTATATACATTAAAATAAATTGAGCCTAATCAATGATTATTAACGCATCCATCTTTTGTTTTAAAAATTAAAACTATTTCATAAATAATTTATGTCTAAAAATATATGAAAATATTAATATAATATAAAAGTGTCCAACCATTAATAAGCTAACCATTTTTTTTTTTTAAATAACCAAATAAAAACTACTACCAATAATAATAGCACACATACCAGAAAAAATATTTTACCTGCTCATAAGAGAAGGGATTAAGAGATGTGGCAAAAGCGGGGAGTTCTTTGGATATCGATTCCCTCAGCTGATCTGATGATGGTGGTGGGTGTGGCACACGAGGGGGAGGAAATTTCACTCGAGATGGAGGAGGTGACCCAGAATTAGGTGAAGAATTCCGAGACAATGGAGAATCTTGAGGAGGTGGATATGACCAAGGGAATGTAAAAGGATACCCTGCCACAGTCGTTACATCTCCTATAAAATATAAAACTTCAAATGCTTCAATAATTAAATAGATAACATAAATAAACAATTGATCTAAATGGTACAAATTTATTTCTAGTGATAATATTGTGCCAATTTGACAAGCATTTTTAGAAGAATTTTAGAATAAAAAATATCTATTGGAAAATCTGATCCAATTTTTTAATTAGAATTTATCAAGAATTATCTTCAACAGTTTCATAATTATACACTGAAAATTGATGGCTAAGATTTCTTTAAAGTCTTTTGCATCTTCATCGTTTATAGAAGTCATGTTTTCTTATGTTAATAAAATTTGTACTGCATCATTTGAATTATAAAGGATTCTTGCTGCCTACTGGAATAATCTTAATAAATTGGCAAATTTCATGTTAATACTTTATTTATAAACCTTTTATAAGCTATAATTATCTGAATATTTCTTTTGATGGTGTAACAACATCAATATAATTTAATGTGTTTAGTTTAACAGTAAAACAAAAATGTTTAAAAGTTCTTAAGATTCAATAACATTATTATTAATTAGTTCAAAATAAAATTTATCTAAACATAGTCGTTATCTTTAACAAAAATAACTCTTGATAAAAAATACAATTTTTTTTTTAATACGAGATGTCAAATGTTTCCTGAATATTAGCAATGATTTTTAGTTTTCTTTATTTTATATTAGATTGGTAAATAAGTCCTTTCAGTTTTTCAAGGTGAAATAAAATTGGTGTATTCAACACAAACAAATTATTTTAATCTATAATGTATTGACCATTATTTAGAATGATCTGTTACCATATTTTCCCTAACTGCAAAATACCACATTCATAGAATATATGAGGTAAAATGTCAAAAGACTGATCTAAGTAGTTTTTGAATTCCCGTTTGTTTTGAAATTGCATTCAATTCATGGAGTTATGCAGAGACTCTTAAATAAGAGGTAGTAGCTTGGAGCTAGGTTCGGTGAATAGGAGGTAAAAGGTCCTATCTAAAGCTTCTTAATTTATTGTGAGTAACCAATGAGTTATGAGATCTAGCATTCTTGAGAAAATACAGGAAAGAAAGTTACAAAGAAAAGAAAAATGTTTCGGGGGCCTAACTTATGAAGTATGTATTCTATGGTAAAATTTATATGAAGAAATTTGAAAAGTAATTACCTACTAAACAAAAAAAAATCATCAGAATCGAACAAGTACTAGGGATGATACAGTGTATTTTATTTTCTGCACATTTTAATTTATTACTTTCCTAACTATACTAGGAAAGGAAAATATTGCGATCGGGTCAAATTCCAACATATAGTTTTGGATGGATCTATATGTTTCAGAGCCCCTGAATCTGAAAATTCCTGCTTAGCCTGCTTATCTGAAAGGTAACAAAATTTCCTACAAAACTATATAAAACTCGTTCATTTTGGACAACTATTAACAAAGTTACAGCTATTCAATTTTTGTACTGATGAATACGGGTCTAAGAGGTGAAAGAGGGAAAAAAAGAAAAGTAAGTGAATGTAAGAAAATCTGTTGACCGCATCACTCAAGTTTTCTCTTGACTTTTAACAGAAATTATTGGTTGACAAAATTGGACTAAGGTAAAAAACGTTTTTGATTAATAATATTAGAGTGTATTGAATTTTTTACACAAACCCGTTTACATTGCTTTAGTTTATCTAAGAAATCGTACTTGAATCTTTTCTTTGATCAAATTTTAGGAAAATAAATCTAATTCAACTTATTACTTATTTTTTTTTTTTTTTTTTTGTTTCTCAATGGATACATTTAAAGATATAAAAACTTTTCTGAAATAGGTAGAAAAGTCATGTGAGTGGACACACCAGATTTTTTATCTAGTATTGTAAATCTTATAAGCAAAATTTTTCTCTTTTATTTCATTATATTATTGCTTTGAATTAGTTACTTGTATATAATAAACTTTATAGTCTCTATTGTGTTCTATTGACTGGGAATAAAAAATTTGCAAACAGGCAACTTGGGTTTATTGAAATATAAATAGTGGAGTTTATTGAAACAATTCAAGATACCCCAGTTAAACATTTCAATAATCTCCTTTACTATTCATAATCACTATAATTCAGGAATTTCTTTAATAAGACTTTATTCTTTCTGGTATGGTGTGAAACTCTAGCAATTCCTTTCCTTGTTGAAGATATGAAGGAAACAGTATCCTTGATCAAAACTGGTAATATGAGAACAGCTGTTGTAGAAGTGCTGTAGTTTACACCCCAAAATGTAGTCATAAAAGTCTGAGAAAGTCAATCTTGAAGGTACATGTAATTTCAAAGATGATATCATATCAAGATATTATGATTCAATTTTGAGACAACCGAAATTAGAAGTTGAAAGTTTTAAATTTTTATGAAAAAATATTTCTGTTTTATCTATATGTGTTATTTCAAACCTAGATACCATTCTCCAATACTCAGGCCTTCAAATATTTTTTAAAGGAATTTTTTTTCAGAGGGAAGTAAAGTAAAAAATGCAATTGATTTTAACAGGGGTTGAGACTTTATTAAAAAGCTCCATTTTAACAGTATCTGAAAAACTGTTTAGGAAAAAAGTTCTTAAAATAGAAGTTGTAAGGAACTTTTTTTTATTATTATAAAGTTCTAGATTTACAGTAAAAGTCAAACTTTTATTTATTTAAGTCCTTAAAAAAAGTTCCGTTAAATGAAGAATAATAGCTAATTGGGCTTAGATTAGAGTTGTTTCATGATTCTTATTTACCCTTTGTTTGAGTAGCTAAATTAAAAATCACTTAGCGAAATTGACAGAACTTTTAAATATAAGTTATTTAAATTAAAAGTTCTGTAAAACCTTTACCGTTGTTGTTAAGTTGCAGTGGGAGAGGTTCTAGCTCTAAATGAAGTTAAAATAAAAATATGTTTTTCTCACTCAAGCCTTGGATTTAACTCATTTCTTGTGTTTTTGTTCAACAATGCTCAATGGATTGGACCAAATACAGACAGGCAAACAATTTTTTTTTGTTAGGACTATGTGATAAACTGACTGGATACTTAAAAGTATTTCTAGACATTTACAACAACCAAAAAATAAGGATGAAAAGTGGTAAATACCCAGATAAACTCAATAAGAATAATTTTTTTACTGCACATCCTGACCGTTTTTCATCCTTACAATTTCAACAGTCAACTATACCCATCTCTAAAAACAAAAAATGTTTTATTATGCCCCTTGTTCCCCTGCTTTAAAAAGGAGACTTCAGGAAAATTTCTCTAAAATTCTTACAGCTGTTCTGGCAATATAGCCTATAGAAAATGTATAATATATTATAGAATTTGATTTTGTAGTCCCACAGCATAGAGAGTCTGTCCTACAAAACAAAAAGAAACAGATCAAAACAGAATCAGTACTTCTTTTTCATGAGTTGGTTGAGGAACATGCACTAACATAAATAGCCGACCAATATGTTTTTAGAACTCAAGGGCTATGAAACATAAAGACCTGTTGAAAATAAAATGATCCAATAGCAACACTTTTCTTTACTGGATACCTCTTGTAGCAGTAAGGCAAGTAAAGATGTGACTGATGAGGAGATTCTCTAGAGGAGAATCCAATAACATTTATAAGACATAAAACTGGCAATATAGGAACGATTTAGTGTTTCAAAAATGCCGAATTTGAAAACAATTCTTTAATAATGCTATAGCTAATTTTTTATATGAATTTAAATTTGAGATAGTGTAACATGGCAACCAAGGTTACAGTTATTTATGTAACAGATGACTGTGAAGAGTCACTTGTCTTTCGTGCTCGCATAGCATACTTGTTTTTTAATGCCGTAACGGGATTGGGATTACCAAAGAAAATTGCTTGAAAAGTCCAAGGAGAGGCTTTCTGTTGTATCCATGAGAATTCATTTTTATTTAATACTCCAATTATATAGAAAAGGGTAAATTATAGTAACATATTTCATTATTTTTAGTACTGGGATAATCTCACATTTTGGACCAAGTCTAACAGAGATAATCTCGCATTTTGGGCCTAGTCTATCAGAGATGATATTGGATATTCTCACGTTCACAGTCATCCTCTATTATCTAGATATCCAAGTAGAATGATTGATGTCTAAATTGTTTTACATTAGTAAACCGAGATATAATAGGCAATTGTATCTACTGCTGGACTGAACTTAGGTTATTATTTTTAATTTTTTTTTTTTTTATATATCTTCTTGTTTGTAATACTCATGTACATATTCTGTTTATAATTAAGTAAATATTAAAGAAATATTATATTTTGTTTGTGGTGCAACTGTCTTATATTATATTTAATTTATTTATTTTTTTTAATATAATATATTCCTTTTTTTTATTTGTAATCCCCTCTACCCTAGAGGGTCATTGGCGGGTCATAAATGACACTTTTTTTATATCTAACGTATAACACTAGGATTATATTAACTAATATTGTTAATCTGGTCATAATAGGAAGAAAATTTATTTGAAGAAAAAGTTCAATCTATTATGTTCGTGTTTTATCTATCTAATGAGCTGCTAGACATGTAAATAGAGGCGCTCATCATCAATAATAATTACTAAGATACCTAACATAAAATTAATGATTGTGCCAATGGAGATAGAAAATAAGTAATTTAACTTAAATCAAGGAAATCAGTGGTTTTTATTATGAGGGGACGTACACACATACATGGAATTCCCTTCAAAGGAGTTGTGACTGAATACTTGAAGTGACTTTACACTTGTCTTAAACACCAAATATGCCAAATAATACAAAAAAAACAACTAATACAGCAGTGATGGAGATGAAACCTAGTTTTACAAAACAAATATTTTGGTTTTAACTATCTTTAATTTAAAAATAAAAACAGAGGAACCTAAACATTAAGGCTAATCGAGCTATGAAAAATTATATTTTTTCAGTTCTTTTAAATATCTTCCAAGATTTTTATGTATCTCTCATGACATACAGTACTGCTAATTGAATATAGAGAGATAGATTTTTGCCATTTTGAATTTTACAAAGAACCCGTATTTCTTATTTCATGCATCCTATACAAAACTGATATTTTAAAGCCAATAGAAACTAACGATTAAATAATTGTGAAAGTCTAGAGAGTTGAAATAAATAAAATCAAGCACATTTCCAATAAATTATTGCTAGTGAAACACTTTTTAATGTTATCCAGCAGCTGAAATTTTGGCTGAGTTCACAATAATGTCAGTATTGGCCACAACTTAAAGATAACAAAAAATATTCTGATCATTAACTGTCTTGGGAAATAGGTTTTATTGGTGTGACAGACTTACATAATTATGTAAAAGTAGATTTATGGATGAAATAATAGTCATGGATATTTGTGAGATAAAACATCTAAACAAATAATTTTATTGTTCCATTTAATTACTATTAATTTCTGGTGACTTTTATAAAATTGATGTAAGACATCTCTGGAAAGATAGTACCCAGGTTAAATTAGTTAATCAGCCTACTTAATTAAATTAAAAAATATTGGAAAGATATGTAAAAAAATCTTATCATCTAAGACCTATACATAGATGATCAGATCAGATTTCTTTACTTGCCTTAATACATACCTTGCCAATGTTTGTTTGATTAGGCTGACAAATTTAGGGGATGGGGTGACTGAGCGGGCTAACGTGTGTGTAAAACTTGGTGTGCCCTGACAACCAGATAAATCAAAGTTTAATGATAAAATAGTAACGATTTCGCATCCTGGTGCTAGGGGAAATTTTAATTCTAACATTAATCCCCCGCCATCATCTCCTTACCTGGGAAAAATTCCCTATAGCCAAAAAGGCGAGGAAGGGGGAGAGGGGAATAAAAAAAAAACATTATTTTTTATGTGGAGGGGGCGGGGTGACCAAGCGGGCTAACACGTGTGCACAGTACCGCGCGTTCCCCAGCAACCTGATAACCAAAGTTATATATAGATAAAAAATTAATTATGAGTGTGCCTCCATCAACCCCTGGCCCAGGAAAACCTCGTATAGCCTAAACGGCGAGGGAAAAAAAAGGACATATGCATAAAATATAATTCTCATGTTACAAGCGACTGTCATTCTTCTTAAAATAAAAATATTGTTTATATTAGTTTTGTATTCATTTAAATTTAAGTTTGGTAAGATTGAAACTAGCGAGAAGTCTTAGTAGCATGGCTAAGTTTGATTTTTAATTTAATCAAAACTAATTTAATAAAATATGTATTAATATACACATGTAATATATTATGTAAACATGATAGATGTAATACATGTTTATGTATTTTTTTTTTTACTTGTAGTGATTTCTGAACAAAATAAGTTTAATTCCATTGTATTTCCATACAGATAAAAATATCATTGTTTTTCCAACACTTCAACAAAACAAGTAGCTACAAATTTAATTTGAAATTTCGATATTACATAGCTATTCCTTTATTTATTATGTACATTTTTTCATCTTAAATGAAGATTAATTCATCTAACAACTTTAAAGTAATGGTATAACATTTTATACCATCATTATAGAAGGATCAAGAGATAGTTAACAGTATATTGAGTTAAAAATGTTGATATAATCAACTAATAAATATACTGTCTGTTGTTGTAATAAGTCATTATGTAACATTTAAAAAAAAATTTAATCACTATACATAATTTGATGAATTTACCCTCAGTGAAAGCAAAACATTATGAAATTGGAATACTTATTTATAACATGTAAGAGGGTTTGTGTAGTTTTGAAGCTTTTATTGAATTTTTACGATTATAAATATGACAAAAGCCACAAACATGTACTCAAAAAGTTAGATCCAACAAAAGTATATGCAGTGATTTTTTTGCAACTAACTAACGAACTAGTCTTAAGGACTATGAAAATATATTTTATAGACAAGCATGATAAACAGACATTAATTCCTTCAACTTTACAATTATAATGGTGGCCAATACAATTAGCCTTACCTCTAATGAGATGTAGTTCTTTTTTTTAAACACTATAAATCAATTAAATAATGAAACTGTGATATCTTATGTGACAAACTATAAATTAATTCAGAGTGTGTAACAATCCTAAAAAATCATTTCAAGATTAAAAATAAACTGTATAGAACTTCAATGGAAATTATAACTTCTCAATTATATATTTTACATTTTAATAAATCGTATAACACTTATGACTACACACACTGTACTCCTGATTGAAGCCATGTAGTGCTACTGGGGTTCTAAGAAAAATCTATAGATAATACTAAGACAGAAAATATTTAAAAAATATATATAATAATAATAAATTAATTTCAACCACACAGCAATTTTAACAATACTATGCTTTACTATAATAATTTTTTTTGTAAACAGAAAAATATGACCACAGTCAGCCCAAGAAATTAAGAATAAAAAATTCATATATTTCAAAATTATCAATTGAACAACAGAAACATTGATAGTACATAATTTAATTTAAAATTAAGAAAATTGCTGAATGATTTGCTTTCATTAAACTGTAGAACTAATAACTATAAAACAATGAAATTAACATAATAAATCAGAAGTAAATAAATCGTAAGCATTGATTATAATATTGTTAACATTAAAACAAATGTAAATAAATAAATACCTCCAAAATGGTGAGGATTAGGAGGAATTGGAGGGCACTGTCCAGGGTTGGTTGTAACTCCAATCAGGTGATCATCATAGGTAACACAAGTGTGATGATAATTCTGGAAGATTAATATCAATAAATAATTCATACTCCATGCAGTACCGTAAATTGAGGTCTCTTGGACCCACAGAAAAAGTTTCAAATTACATCTATTATTAAGAAAATATAAATATACAATTCACAGATTCTATAAGTCCACAGGTAAGTTACCATGTTCTCACTATTTTTCTCGGCCTGGATCCAAGTTTAGAACTATGGTTAAAGTAAACTCAATTTACGATATTATTTGTATAGACGTTTAGTAGAAATGAGCGTAAAATAAAAATAAATAAATAAAGAAGAGAACACAGTTAAGAAGAGAAACACTGAGGTTTCAAAAAATACTTCTTTTCATGGTTCACAGAAAAACCATGAAGTTCATTATTACACTGTACCAAACCAAACTCAGAAACAGAACAACAATGTTCCATAAAGAAATATAAAATAAGGCTAAACATGAGTATTTCTGAGAAACTAAAAACTATATACTATTTTGATTGCAATAATTTACAAAAAAAAAATAAATAGAAAAGTGAAACTGCAAAAATAAGTCTAATAATCAGATAAAATGTGTATAGAAAATTAATATAGAAATGATATATGTAAAATAAATTACACAAATAAGATAATCGAAACATTTGCCATTAATCAGGCAGTTCCATAAATATGAATGCACAATAACTTTGAAAAAAAGCAAAATTGAGAAAAGTCAAAGAAAGCACAATAAATAGAACATGAACAATGAATAATTGTTTCAATTTTCCATACAGACCAATATCAAAATAAAAAAATTTAATCATTCAGAAAAAATCATAATTGTAACATGATAGCCTGTAGTAAAAATGTTGGCATTATTAGTATAGAAACAGAACTAAGTAGGCTTTATATTTATTAAATAGTTACTATGAAAATTTGAGCAGATAGGTAGTAAACTGATGTTAGCCTAATGAAAATGAATGTTAACAATGAGTTCCTTAAATTAAATCAACTTGATTTTCAAAATACTTTCATAAAAAAACAATTTTGGCATTATTTAAGTAATGTTTAATACAACATAATTTGTTCTGTAGTTTTGGTAAAATATTCACTGCATTTATACATAAATAAATCATTTAATAATTTCTTTGACTGAATGTGTACCTGAATTTGGGGAGGAGGTTTATCTAGAACATTTTCCTGAGAATTCCCAGCTACATAATTAGACTTATTTCTATTGGCAGTCTGAACATATATCCTACGTTCTTCTTCTTGAAGTTGACTATAGACTTTTTCTAGATTCAATTTCTGTTCATATGAGAATCCAGGGTGATTTATAGCTAAGGTATATATAAGTAAAAGATCATCAAGGGCTGCATCATCACTACAGTTCTTTAATACAGTATGGATATCTTCATTTTTAGTCAAAATTTTGTAAATACTATTGGAGCAGGAATAATTACATGAATGTAAAAGTGACACATATACAGCTAATTTAGTCCTAACCTGCTGACTACTCAAACACAGCAATTCTGGTGAGCTTAAATCAGATATGTTATTTGCTTCATTCTCTGATTGTCTTAACTCGTGGAAATCTCGTTTTCCCAGGTGCTCCAAGCATGTGCCAAGAAACCGTAGTTCAAAGGGGAGACACAAATTCAACAATGTGCACATTACATCTGTACGCTTATAACTTTTTAAACCTTTAAACCATGTAACAACATCTTTTTTACAAACCATTGCCAGAAATCATTGATGTTAAATAACAATCAAAATCCTCCTTTTATCCCTTATCAATTAGCCCCACTGTCGCAGGACACTCCTGCTACACAGAGAACTTAACAGAACAACTATTATCACCGCGTTAAAATAACATCAGAAAGAACTGCTTAAAAACATCGGCATTGTTTATAAAAACACTAAAAACACAAAATTAAAAATTCTTATTGTAATATTTGGCTATAGTAATTCTTTGACCAACTGACTCCTCAATGTAAAGGCCTTCTAGATCTAAAAGCCGTTCAATTCTAGCCCTCCCCTGAACACCACTCACTGTTAACTGGATTCAGATGGATTTATATTATGATATATCTACAAATTTCTTCTCTGGTTTCAACTTTTGTCATTGATTAAATACAATAGTTGGTTTTAATTTAATTCTTATTAACCTTTATGCTGAAATCTTCTTTATAAAATTAAGGAATCTTTATTGAAATTGGGTTGCTCATCTATCTTTGTTATCATAACTAATTTATCCGGTTTGATAAAAATGTTGGTTACTGTTACGAGAGCTAATAATCGAAAATCTAAGTGGTCCTTAGATTATAATACAAGGTAAGTTCTTAAATTCCTATTTATTTATTGTTAATTAATGTTTTCTAAACCAATATTATTGTTTAGGAATAAAACAGATAAGAATTCAGAGGTCGCTTCCCCTCCAGGTTATAATCCATCTCTAGTCCAAATTCACACAGAAACAAATAAGGAATCAGACCCTAATCATCTAATAATTAAAAAATCATGGGATCTTGCATTAGGCCCTTTAAAACAGGTATTTAATTGTTGACCTACTAAAATTACTTAATTAGTCCTTGACTTTGTAGAAACTAATGCTATTTGTTTAGGTTCCCATGAATCTGTTCATTATGTACATGTCAGGAAATTCAATTTCCATTTTTCCCATCATGATGGTTGGCATGTTGGTTATCAGGCCAGTTAAAGCGCTCTTCACAATGCAACACAGTATGTTCATCAACTATTGAATTTAACCACCTTTGTATTTTCCTCTATTTTATTACCTCATGTTTTGTTCTAGCCTTTAAAATGATTGAAGGAAGCCATGCAGCTGGACAGAAGTTTGTTTACTTCCTTGGCAATATTGTTAATATAGCTTTAGCATTGTACAAATGCCAGTCAATGGGGCTTTTACCAACACATGCTTCCGATTGGCTGGCATTTGTGGAACCACAAACACAACTTGAGTATTCTAGCGGGGGAATAAATTTAACATAAAGTATTTTTCTAATTTATTTTCCTTGCAGTGGAACATAAATAATGAGAATGTATGACAGTTGAAGTGAAGAAACATAAATTATGTAACATTATGTACAGTTTTTATTTTATAAATTAAAATACAGATCATAAATATCTAGATGTTATGAAAGATTATAACTATTTATTTATCCCTTTTTTCATTTCTTCCCATTTTCTTTGGCCACCTCTTCTAAATAGAGTTTAAACTTGTTTAAGAGGGTTGCTGGATCTTCTACTTTCTGTACCTGTCAACATCAATAAATATTACTAATTACTAATAGAAATCTTCATAAGTCATAATAGAAATCATAGGATATGGGACAGATAAGAAAGACGATTAGGAATATTAATTGTTTGCTAAGTTTAAGGTGTCATATATATTTCAATTAGAAACATTAAATTTATTAATATGAATATGTCACTTATCATTTTTTAAATGCAGGCTAAATTGTCAAGTCATTGCCTTTTCTTGGAAATTAATATGGGAGTAACAAGCTACCAGCTGGGGATTATAACATTATTGAAAGACCACATTGATTAGATTGTTTATATTTAAAATGTTATCCCTTACCAGCCCATTTGTGGGAATCAACATATTTTAACCAGAGGAGAAAGGTTTCTATTTATTCCATTGATCCATTATGAAATAAATTTAATCCTATCCACTCCGACTCAAGTTTTAACATATACTCAAAAACTCAAATGACATCAGTCCTAAGTTATTCAACAGTAAAGACCACTTTATTTATTTTTTATTTTTTTAAATTACTTAATGTAAATGAATTATGATATCCAGTCAAGAAAACAATTAAAGATACCACTTAATTAATACTTAGCTTTATTATAATTATTTACACTTCATAAGGTCCCAAAAAGTTCACTAGGGTCAAACAAAACTAATCCAGTAAATTGGGGATTCTTATAAAACATTGTCAAAAATAAGAAATATTTAGTTTTTCAATTAAATTTTGTTTGATTGGTAGTTCTACTTTACTGCTCTGATATGAGAAAATTGATTTTTATTTTTTTTTTATTTTTATTCATGGGTTGTAATAGCGTCTTACTTTGAACTCTCAGCTCAATTTGTTTATCAGGGTCTAAAAATCTTATACACAATATGGAGTATCTTTTTGAATATAATTTATATACTTTTTTAAATAACAATTCACTGTGCATTGTTTAGTAATTTTGTCTCTTAATATATTCAAAACCTTTTCCAATCCTTGTGACTAAATTCAATGAAAATTCAGTTAAGTCATTTATAAAAAGGAATGTAAAAATCAATAAAACTTAATATGAAAAGAATTAATACAACTTCCAATAAGTAATTATAATAAAAAGGGTTGAAAAAGAAAATAATAAATTTCTATTTATTTAGCTTGGATTAATTTCTTCTCTTTTTTCAATCTAAAAATATCCTTAACCAGAGGTGGCCATAAAAAAGGCACTTAAAAATAGTTTTTTTTTTTATATTTTTCACAAATGCGTTCAAAACTTTTTCAAAGTTGGGATACTGGTATAAAAAAAATATTTGTAACTGAAATCTCTCTCCAGATACCATAATACAGGCACAATTACTGAAAATAATATACAATTTTCTATCAAATGATGAAATAATATTGGAAGTCTTTTCAGTTTAAAGATATTTGTTACAATGTAAATCAAAATATTTTGTAGCGTATTGCAGAAACAATTTGTTCAACTAAGTTTGTAAAAATTAAATTTACAAGTTATATATACAAGTAAATATACCAAACATTTCTTCTCCAAATGCCCTAATACAACCATGTTGCTGAAAAAAGAATTCCCATTCAAAGAAAAAATATTGGTGTGAGAGTTCTTTGAGTTTAAAAAGCTATTAAGCTTTATTAAAATTCAATTATAATAAAATTAAATTAAATTCTTAAGTTTTGTACAAGTAATCATAGCTAAAAGCTCATTCTGTATATTCTAATAAAATCATAAATTACTGAAAAGGGCATGGATTTATCTTTCAAATGAAAGAAATAATATTCGAGGGATTTTTGAGTTTTAAGAAATCCAAAGGAGTTGGTCCTTTCATGCAATAAGCCATGAAAAAAACTAAAGGGATGAAATTGGGGAGTCACAGTTAAAATAACTGTTACAAAGAGAAATCTTTAAAATAAAATACAATGTGAACATATCATAAATACTAGACAAACATTTGACTATCCTTATAATCATTTTAATATATATATATATATATAAAATAAAGATCATGAAAATCATAAAAAAAAATATCTTCGGCATTCGATTTGAAACTTGGCAAAATATGATCAAACTATAAGGTTTTTGTAATTTTTAACTTGCATCTGAAAAAAATCACGTCAAAAAGAGTGAGTTCATACTTCAATATCTATTTATGCCAAAACATTTTTTAGTGGAACACTGAATCTCTATCCTTGGCCAGTGTTTATGAAAACTACTACTGGACTGGAATTTTAAAGCCACAGTTCAATAAATTTGATATTATATATGAAACTCCTAATAGATAAAAGCTTATTTCGAGCTCAAATTGTCTTCCAAACATCAAATATCTCAAAAGCTCATAAGACCATAATTTTGAAACTAACTGCTATAATTTGTCATTTATTTCTTATTTTTGTATTTGCTTAATACATATAAATTTTCATTAAAATCTGAGGTGGTAGGTATCATCTACTAAATTTATCTGTTGTATAGCCCGTCCCTCAGGACAAACGCCACTCCCTGCTGCTCTTACTGGATTTACCCCTGAGAATATCATTGTGAATCCAGATGGCAAATTCCTGCTTCCCCAATTCTTCCTCTTCACCTCACTCAGAACCAAGATGTCCGTCCATCCTATACCTCTTGACCTCCTCAACGAGCTCTGCCTCTTTATCAGTGAGCGTCCTAATATTCTTCGTAGATAATCGTATGTCCTTGTCCATGCCATGTCTTTTCTTTGTTGACCGTCAAATTCCGAGGCTATCTTTGTTACTTTGCATCTTATATAATCTGGGTGGGGGATTGGTCCCAGCCCTAAAGCCCCTGTATCCCCGGGACAACTGGCCTCCAGAGTATTTATTTCCCGGCCCGGAGGAAGGGTGGCCGGGCTATAACTCCCTCCTCCCCCCGGTGCTGGGTTTCCCAATTTGGAGGGCTAGTGGCTGTTTGCAGTCCAAGGACTGGGCAATGTGGTTGTCACATCTCTAATGTGATAGAAAAACGATGGCCATAAATAACTAATTTTTACTCTGAGCTAGTGGAAAAAAAGTCTTATTTGTGATTGTGTTTATTTTTATTGAAGTTCAACCAGTTCGTCTTGGTCTCTATTTCCTCCTTAAATATCGAAGTGTCACGCATATTGTTATATTCCAGCTTAATTAGTTTTTTCTGAATGAAGAAAAGAATATTTCGTTGACTCCGAACAAACAAAAATGTTGAATTTTCTTGTTCCATCCATTTTACGAGTGAAAACATACCTATTAAGTATATATTATTAATATTAGTGCAAAATGTCATATGTAAAAATTTTCAAATTCCATTCTATTCTATGGAAAATAGCAGAGAGCAACAAAATATGAAATTATACTAATAAATCATAAAGAAATAATTACTCTTTATGCTCTCATGTAATTCACTCAGTTTTTACATACGCCCATTTGCATTAACAGTATGTTTTGTGATATGTATTGTTTTGTTTTTTAAATCAAGAATCATCAAATATGGAATCTGCAAATACGGAACTCTATCGCATTTTAATATTTGCTAATGAACAAAATTTGTGGATATCAAACCCGGGAATGTTGAAGGTTAACTGTATATCGGAATCGGCTTTTCCCAGAGATTTTATTCTTATACGAAAAATTGTATGCCACCCCTGAATTTTAAGTTTTTTAGGCCTCTTATAAATGGAATAATATAATTTTTAAATATTTCTTTTAATATTGCCTAATGGCAACAGTAGACAATACACAAAGAAATAGAGATGGTGTAAAACAAATTATTCTTAAAACCGGTTAAATTACTATATGTAAAGTGGCAGAAAACATGGCATGTCTAATGTTGGATTTTCAGTATTGAATAGCCCATCTTTCTTTCCTATTTACTGTTTTGGTTCACTCCATTAAACCTAATAACATCAACCACCTTTTTTTTTTTTTTAAGGCTAAGCTAAAGTTCCTAGATTAAGATTTTTTATAGATACTCTATTAGATAAGTTTACACAATTTTTGAAAAAAAAGTTTACCTATTGGATGTGTTTTTACTACATACATCTAATGGCAATGTGAAAAATTACCCACTCCCATGTTTTTCCATTTAAATCAATCATATTCACACTGATCTCTCAGTACATCAAGATGTCAATTTGTTACTCTTAAGTTCATTGCACTTCTAATCCACCAATGCCCTAGAAATTGAAATGGTTCTATTCTGCTAATTGGAATATCTTAAACAGCAGAAACCGGTCGAATAAAAACAGTGGATGCTGTATTAACTATTGCATTGTCTACCTTTGTTTTTTAACACTCTTATGGTATTTGGTTTTCTCTATTACATTAGCATTTATCATCCTCAGCCCTTTATGTTATGCTTACCAAATTTTCAGTTTTGCCAAAAAGACACACAGAGACTTACAATATTCTAATAAATATAATCAGACTTATCACACAAGAATTTTGTCATGTTTTAACACTTTAAATAGTGACTTATACAAGCTATCATCAAATACATACAGACTCATTAAAAAAAGATTCCATAACAAGTTACATGAACATAAAAATCCACTGTTGGTTAAAATAGACATTATTAGCACACCTGCCATTAACAGGAGACTGACAAGGTTGTGAACAGATGTTTTGTAAATTTCTTTTACCTAAAACCATGCCACAGAAGAGACAACTACATGTAGTGTTATTTTATTACTGATGTTGACAAGCTATCCAGTGATCATCAATGTTAGATTAAACAGGTATGGATGTTGTTTGAATAAATATACCTATTTATAACCCAAGATTTCATGACATCTAGATGACATAATACAATGTCAAACATTATTCTTATTATAAATATTTAAGGTAGAACAAAGGAAATGAAAATAAAGTTCAAAATTGAATGATAATTGCTAGACGGACATCTGGAGTGAAAAACATATGTTAAGTGAGATTTTGGACATCGAATGTTGATATTTACAAAAAAATTATTTTTGCTGTTTGTATGCCCATAGTTACTATTGGGCAATTTTTACAATAAAAAATATTAATTTTGATAGCTAACGGAATGTTTATTTGAACAACGTAGTTGGAGTGATACCTGTGTGGTAGATATCTTTTTTTAAGCAGTCTAAAAATATTTCTTTTCACAAACCTTTTTAAAACAGTTGTCAGAAGTGATCTTCAATATTTCAAATAACAATAAATAAATATATTGAAGAATGGTGAAGATACTGAGTTTCTCCAGTGATTCCAAAGCTTTTTGCAATATATTTTTTCCGTTTGGCACTACAGACCATGAAGGTCTTTGATGGCGAGATGTGGTCTCCTAGACCACATCCTGACTCCTGATTTAAGTAACCAAGGTTAGGGTCATCAGTCCTACGCCCGGTGGGTGTGAGTTGCCTCCAGTAGCTGACGGGTACAGTAAGCAGTAAGCAGTAAGCAGCCTCACATACCCGGAGGGGGGAATCTCGGGTAGCATGGCTCTTTCTCTGGTGGACTGTCACCCAACCAAGTGCTAACCATGCTCAGCGTTGCTTAACTTGGTTACCTATTGCAAGCACCACGGTTACTCAAGCAATATTGCAATATATTAAAAAGCTCAAAAAAATTTCCAGATTCAAGTGTTTCAAATCAGAAATAACAAGTGACTTATCTTTATCTTTAATTAAGTATCCACAAAGTTTGTTTATAAATCAGTGAGAGAAAATTTGAGACTACATTTTCAGTGAGTTTCTACTGACCTTCAGACAGTACGACTTTCTTCCTCTCAACAATTTTATTGTTACAATTAATAATTAAAGGCTCTGGAAAGTATTTGTAACACACAATTAGAATTATGGAGGAATTTCTTTTCGTAACAAGTTTATTGACCAAAGTGAAAATTAAATAAATGAGCTTCCTCTTCCTCACTCTTCACTGATTTATATCCGCTACTACACTCAGACACACAATTGAGTATTTTGGTTTAGTTGTACTTGAAAACTTTTAGTAAAACAAATCAAAACGCTAAGTTAAAAATAAAAAATATCACGGAATACAATGTAGTTTCTTAGGATTTTTTGACTCATTATTACTACCAATAGATATAGACTTCATGGTTTTGGAGGTATTGACTTTCTTAGCCGCTTGAACAATATTTTCCGTCTTAAATTGTGTGGCTAGTTGAAAACCATGAAACCTGATATTGATTCTTGCAGAGGCCAAAATTCATCGAGAAAAACCGATTAAATCACATGATGAATTAATTTTTTTTTTTATTAACAATCCGCTATAGGTTTGTACTTAATAGCAAACAGATGTAAAACAGTTATTATACACATAATAAATAAAAGATTATCCAATAAACTTTTCTGATGTAGAAGTTCTAGTCATATCTATAACAGTTAGAAATTATAAGCAAAACAGAGAAGCAGAAGCAATGACGGCCTTAGACATTTCGCACTCCCTAGCAATGAATTAATCTCTCCAAATAATTTTAATTTATTTCCTAAGATGTTTTATGTTACATAATATTTGAATTATATTTCATTCATGATGGTTCTAATTTGGATTTATTAATAGATTAATATTAATTTATCTTGTATACTTTGTAATTTTTTATAATTTCCAATAAGTGGTGGGTATCCATGGGTCTATGCCTGGGTTGCCCTGCCCTGAGCAGAAGTATAGGAAGAACCATTCATCATTGAAAGAAGCAGGACGATAAAACTTACAAAATAGTTTATGAAAGCCTTAGAATAAAGGTTTGCTAATAATGGTATAATGTAATGTAGAATAAATTTATTTGGAAGAAACTAATGACAAATAATCATCAAATAGTTATATGAAGTGCGCAACACTTTAATTTGAATTTATAGAACAAATCTTGTGCCAGAATAAAAATAGGGTTAAAAAGTAAAATAAAGAAAGATGAAGATCAGTACCAGCACTTTAGAATGTTGATTGATTTAGATAAAACTAGACATATGCATTTTATGTAGACTCACTAGTGAATCCATATGGATAGGCCAGCTGTCTATAAGGGGGAGTGTGAGTTAATAAGCACCTCATAACCTGCCTGGTGTAGATAAAATACAGTACTTAAATATTTTAATGACCAACAAATGATTCATAAAGAATAAATCAGCTCCTTTTCATTGAGAGAGTGTTAGTATCATAAAACAGCTCAATCCATAACCAAGAAAAAAATTGGTATGTTTGCTTTTCACCTAACGAAACTGGGCTTGGAACTGAATTAATCTCTTCCCAAGTTTGAACGAATCACATTCTATGGGAGATTGAGTGAAGTGAGATGAAAGAGGAAGTTAGTGAAGCCATAACCACAATAAAAAATAATGATACCTTGCTATGTTTGTATATCTGGAATGTGCAAAACATAGCTTTACATAATTAAATAACTTAACTTTTATATTGATAATTGTTCAAATTACTGTGCATTAATTGGTGGACTTTATAGAAATAAAACTCCTGAAACATAATATAAGAATTAGAAACCCAAAAAACGATAAAATTATTAATATATTACCTCATAATTTTGTGCAATGAACATCCCAGTGTATATTCCAGCTCCAAAAATCAACTGAAAATACAAAAGCAAGACATATTCATTGAAATCTCAACTAATCACTATTATTAATTCATACTAACCAGTCCTCTAAACATTTTGGCAGCGTTAGAACTAATCTGAGAAAGTTGAAGGGTACAGAAACATTCAAAAGAAAATTTAAATCTAAAGTTGGGAGTGTGAAAGGGAGGTTTTAGTGATTGTTACAATGTTGATCTGGTCAGCTGCTAAATTCAAAATTAGAATTAGTAGTGTTAGCCTTTCTTGGTCTAGCCAGTTTCTCTATTTCCTTTTCAATGATGAATGAAAAAATATTTTAAAACATTAATTATCAAATAAATGAATGCATTGGTAATTTTCTCCTATAAATCACGTTACCAGTACGTGATCTTCCTGAAGCAAACAAAGGCGCCGACCCTTGGTAAGGTCAAATCAGTTTTCAAGACAGCTATTCATAGATGTAATGGATTTTAGTTATGGCTACAGAATTTCTGCGTTGTCAACTTAGAAGAAGGTAATTATACCTTTTTCTGTTACTAGCTAACATGTTATTCTTGATTAATTAAAACTTGCCTTTTAAATGTAATCATTACTGTTGAATGAAGGCTCTTTGTTGTCAATGGAAACAAGATTTATTTTGAAAAGAAATATATCAGACACCTCTCCTCAGGAGAAATCGCTACTGCACTTCGACCTTTTTATTTTTCAGTTCACCCTGATTTATTTGGAAAATACCCTTCTGAGAGGGTAAGGTTTATCAGTGATATCAATAACTTATTTTCTTTTGTGTTGCTTTTCCTCAATGTTTATTCTTCTTAATTTTATATTTTTCCTGTTCATTATAGGCCATAAATGAAAGCTCTCTGCAATCCTTGAGCTCTTACATACAGAGTTTACAACAAAATAAATATCCAAGACCCACAGATCTCACATTCTATTTAAGGCCTCATGGGACTGCACCAACAAACAATGGTATTTTTTTCAATAATTGTATTTAATAGGGGTATTTTTATATCTACATATGTCTAATGTATTGTAATTTCTCTGCTAGGCACCTTTAAATCCGTCAAAATATCTCTAGGGCAGGCAGATATTAAAAAAACAGTTGTGTCGATTCTTTCCAGCTGTAATCTTCCTACCACATACGTGGATAACCTAACACCTAGTAAAAAAGAAAATATAAATTTCAGACAGGAGTTCCGGACTAAGGCTTATAATTATGAAGAACAAGGAGGCAACGGTAATGGCCCCGAAAGAAACATTAAAAAAGTCAAGACTGAATCATTATCGTGAGTTTCTCTTGAATTGTTAGTATGTCAGTTTACATGTTAAGCAAAAGAATTTAAAGGAAACTGTAGTTTCACCGATTATAACATTATTTATAAAGTGTACTAGTTCAATCTATAGAAGAAATAACATTAGCATTGAATGACATTGTTATATTTATGTTACCCAGAGAACCATTTTGATAAATTTTTCCCAAAATTTAGATGGCATGTCTAGTGGTAATCTTGCTCCATCTGTTGACACTTGCCTGCAATCTCTTACTCCACCGAGTATAAATTGTCAATTTGCTGCTGTTGCAGACATTCACAGCTGTTAAAAACTGTGTGCATGATAACTTTATTAGTGGACTGACTTTGTCTACCATATATACATTTTTCCCCTCCTTCCCACCATTGTTGACAGTTGTGGGTTAATACATTGGGTTCTACATTTTCCCACTACCGCTAATAAGGCAGTTGGAAAGTTTGAATATGTGAACAATGTTAGGTTTTTAACTTTAGTGCGGCCATGCATCCCTCCTGGTCCACTATCTGTCACTATGTATATGCCAATATATGTCCGGTCCTTATCAGGCACCTTATAACACTCCCTCATCCTTTTCACTTGATGGTGGCTCATCGATGTCAGCTGACGGGACTCTTCCAAGAGTGAAGTGGGAAGGGCCCATCTCCCACTTTCTTCCATCCGTCGACAAACCCCCATGACAAGAGTTAGTTAGTCTCTTCTATCAGTCATGGAAGGTCCGCCTTAACAAGGTTGAAGATTCCTGTCTTTTTCAATAACCAGGCATTGGAGTATTCTCTCTTGGCAAAATATCACATTTTCTGGTGTTCTTGGACTCCAGAGTTAGGGCATCATGAGTTAATATTTTTTCCATGCTCATGTAGTTTCCTCTCTCTCCTCCCCTCCAACCCTCTGTTTCCTGTCAGGATCTGCAAGACCAAGAACTCCGAGAGGATCTATTTAGTCTTTAGTCTCAAGCAGAAGATGATAATATTGCACCCTCCTGGCAAGTAACCTACCGTCCTTACATTCCTCGATATAGTCCTCCCTGATGATCTTCCACTGGTTAGGGCTTTCCAATCTTTCACTGGAATCCCTTAGGGGGTATCTCTAGACTGTGCCTATTTACGTTGTACTTCTGGACATCCTCCTTGAGGACGAGGCCATCGCTCTGTTCAATACCTCCAATGCCCCAGCAGAGCCCTCACTGAATGGTGGCTAGCCTCCTCTTCTGTTGTTTGAGGTTTCTGCTTCATGCAGAGGATATGTACCACCTGGACTACACCTTTGTTGTTGACTACACATCCATTCTGGTTTGTATGTGGAGGGAACTACTGAGTAACCATGAGAGACAGAAAAAAAACTAAAAGCCTGATTGTTGGATTAGTTCCTCCCATCTGTACCAATACTAGTATCTATCAATTTGTCAGTAACAATGACATTTAAATCCTTCATGTTTTATTAGATCAACCAATTTTCTCTTTTTTTTTTTTTTTTTTTTTTTTTTGATAATTTTATAATTTCTAGGGACTGGTTATCTGAAAATGCTGATTTATCAAAAGACAAGTTATTAGCTCTTAAACCTGTGAGAGAGGAAGTGGTTCGCTTGCAGAAAAGTCTGTGTGATAAACTCTTCTTGAAAGCTATTCTTTGGGAATGTGGCTGGAATATATCACATTTTAGAGGTTGTTTACTCGCTTTTCAAGCTCTTGCTCAACATCATGTTGATGCTATGACAGTTTTAAAGGGTACGTTTTTCACAATTTTTTGGTTTAAGAGATACTGTTACATAAACATGTGAATATTATTAATGATATTCATGACATAGATATATTTTTTTCTGAAATATTTTCCTTCTCTCTATTGAATACAATTCATTCTAAGGTTCGATTAAAGTTTGAATTGTTGTAGTTTAAAATATTGATTTATTGTTTAAATGTTTATTCTGTGATTGGAGCAATGGTATAGTTATATATCTATTTTAATTTTTGAATTAAAATTCCTGAAACCTCTAAACTTTAAAAATTCTCCTTTTTGATCCCCAAATAGATTGGATAATATACATTTCTCTGGCACATCAGTTTATACTCCCAATTTGATCTCAACTGCATTATGCACTGTTATGCTCAGATTTTGGAACAATCATAAAAATGATTTGCACAATAAAACAAATTGTTGGCATATTTATGCATTCTGCATTGTAGTATCACTAAAAAAAAAAAAAGTCGTTTTATTAAATATCGGTTTTTTATAAACAGATTATTTCAAAAAATTAATGTTTAAAAGATAAAATTATACCCATTTAAAAGAAAAAAAATATACAAGAACATACAATTTAAAATGGTTAGAAAGTAGACCTAAGAGTAGTACAAAAGTGTTGTGTAGGCAAATGTACAAATCGTACTATAGCCCACCCGCAACTCTAGTCCTCAACATGGCTCCCTGACACACTCTTATATCTAGTTATTTGCTAAACGTGAACATTGTTTGTTAATTAAACAATGTAATCTTAATTTTATCAATTGAATTCGACTGCAGCTCAAATTTACATGATTTCTTTCTTTTTACACAATAGCTCTAGAGCCAGGGCCCAAAAATTGACCTGATCGCAGTCGAAGGTTTGATTGTAAATTACAAAAGTGTATGTTATCTGAGTAAAAAGAACCTTGTCATCCGTTCCAGAGCCATTGTTCTCAAAAATAGCAGCTGATTTAAAGAATTTTATTCCAGTAATTTGTGGATTGAAACGGTAAATCCATTGCGAAAAATGTGGGAAATTTTTTTATTTTTTAACTTGTCTATATGGTTATAAATATCTAAAAAATAAAATTCCTAACCTGCGTTAGGGGGATAAAAGAGAAAACTTTTTACAGCCAAAAAAGTCAGATTTTTTATTTTATTTTTTATTTTTTTTCACCTATAACTTCTAAATGATGTATCAAAGCAAAAAAATGTACTCTTTAATAAATTGAAGAATGTTAAATAGTGCGTCGAATGAGTACATATGTAGGTAGGTATAAAACCATGGTCATGGTCAACCAATGATGATTTTTACCAAATTCGTCAAAACTGAGACAAATTACTATAAATGGCACTGAAACTTGGAAATGAGTTCCTTAAAAGGAAAAACTCATAGAATCTCTAAAAGGAAAAACTCATAGAAGTTGTAGAGCATCAAATTTTGCGTCCAGAGAGGACCAAATAATTTAATGTAGGTCACTTACTCCGAACGAAATCGGTAATCTCCCAAAGGCAAGAAATTGAAAATGATGGTAAACATGATTTTCAATATTTCAACAATATGGGTGTCTATACTACTGACCTATTTTTGTTTAGAGTCTGTTACATGCAGTATAAACCTGATTTCCACCTCTACACAATGTGTGGAAAGATACTTAAAGATAATTGGCCTAAAATATAAATGTCAGTACTCAGCGAACGCAAAATTTGATGCCTTACAACTTTGATTCAATTGGTTTTTCCTCTTAAGGAACTCATTTCCAAGTCGCAGGTCCATTTTTAGTAATATGTATCAGCTTTTGACAAATTTAGTAAAAATCAGCATTGGTTGACCATGATTTTATACCTTATCACCTAACCAAATTATAAAGTTTATGTACTCAATCGACGCACTTTATTTATTTAACATTCTTTAATTTATTAAAGAATACATTTTTCGCTTTGATGCATCATTTAGGAGTTATAGTTGAAAAAAATCTGACATTTTTGGCTGTAAATAGTTTTACCCTTGATGGCGGCCCGCATTAGCAATTTTGTTTTTTAGATGTCTAAACCCATATATATAAGTTAAAAAAATAAAAACTTATCTCACATTTTTCGCAATGGATTTCCCGTTTCAATTCTCAAATTACTGGCCTAATATTCTTTAAATAAGCAGCGGCTCTGGAACGGCAGACAAGGGTCTTTTTACTCAGAACAACATACACTTTCGTAATTTACAATCAAACCTTTGCCTGCAATCAGGTCAATTTGTTGGCTCTGGCTCCAGGACTACAAGTACCCATCCCATTATATCGATTTGGTTTTTTTTTTTTTTTTTCTTTTCTTTCACAATCTCCTGAGGACTGTTAGTAGTGGAGTACTTGGGTTACATTAGACATTACTTGGGTTAATTTCATTAGAGGTTACATATAAACAAAGTTGTTCTTTCAAGTTTTGATATAAGTGATTTTTTTCTAAAGAGATTTTAAAGTGGATCTAGTTTATAGTTGAATCCTGTGGCCTTATTTATTGAATTATTATTAATGAGAAGGTTCTGGTTCTCAGAGGACGTTATATCCAAATGATATTAATTAACAAAAAAAAATCAGAACAGAACAGGGTTTTAATTTTAACTCTTTGCTCACTTCTAACTTTTTGTAATACACATTTAGCTTCAACACAAACTAATATATTAAAATATTTTACTTTAATTTTTAGACTTATACTTTTCATGTATCATTTTATGAGCTGTTATCAGTGCTTTGTTACAGGGAGGACTCTTGTGTTTGGTAACGATACAGGAGTGAGCTTTGATGGACAAATTTTGTTGAACATTTCTGAAGTTCGGAACAACTGGTTGGATGTATGTACTTCCTTTACTTATAAAAAATTACTTAATTTTTTTATGTTATAAAAATAAATATACAATATAAAAAATATAAGTATTTAGAGGATCAACAAAAAAAAAAACTTGTAAATCACTTTATTTTTTTAATTGAGTTATTGGTTATAATGAAAAGATAATTTTTTCCATGGATTTAGAATGTTAAAAAACATAACATTATAGTTATTGAATTTATTTGTTGACGTTTTTGCTCTCTGGAAGAATATAGTTTCTCATTTAAACCTGCAACTCAATTTTTAAAAAATATTTCTTACCTGTTTGTTTTTTTCTGTGACCCCTCACTTTTAATGGCCTAAGGCATTGTTCATTAATTACCTTTAGAACATATTTTTTTGTAGTAAATAATCTCCAACATCCGATACATAACGTGTATCCCCTTTAACGGGCATTGTATTATTGTATTCTCTACCTTATATGGGGTCTACTTTATTTGCAGTCATACCAGTAATTGTTGTTAAGAGATTGTGGTTATATTTCAGTTATCTTGTTAGATAACCTTACAAAGCTGAATTGGCCATGTTCTTTTCCTAATCTCTTGGAAAAAACCTTCAAGGTACTCAGAAATTAGACGAATTAATTCAGAAGAACATGTAGTGTAGTGGTTATGAATGCTAATTTCTGCACTGAGCAGTCACCCTTGTTTTGCTTATCTTTGTACAATGAAGTGAGTTCAAGGACTTTATGTATGAATCCTGATCAGAATGAACAAAAATACTTTTATTTTAAATATTATTGGATTCGTTTGGTTTTACCTTATGTTGTCGTTTGTTTCATTACATTTACAACTTTATTGTTTAAAAATAAAATACATTTACATGTGGTGATTTTAATCCTCCATAACTTGAGAGTGACTTTTGGGGATGCTATCGATTGCTAGCCTTGTAAATTATTGCTTAAAAACAAAACACTGTAAGATCATTTGGCCATTTTCTTTTCAGGTGCTTAAGAGGATTATCAAGTTAGGAAAAAGAGGTTTATTGTGGAAGGATAAATATTCCAGGACAAGTATGTAATATAACGGCTTTTAAGGTGTTTGTGAATAATTTGTTTTTAGAAATTTTAAGGAGTATGTTATGTACATATGTATAATTTATGAAATATTCGATGGTTTGATTGAAACTTCGTTGCGTTAGTAGTGTAAATCCAGAAATCCATAATAATATTTGAATTAATTAGATGATTAGTTGGTATAAATAAATTTTGAACATTTTTACTGCCTTTGAAATATTGTGATCAATGTTTGAATTGACTTATGAAAGTAATTGTTGTACTATTATTATTTAATTAATATTTAATTCATAGGTTTGTGCTTAATTATATCTTTAATTAATAAATACACACAATAATTATAAAAGTAAAGTCTACTCACATTGAATGTATTTGATTTATCAAGTAGATAATGCTTACGTACTGAGGAATTTATAGATTAAGGGGTAAGAATTCGTCAGGATTTTATCTTTGTTCTAAACTTCTGATTCCAAAACTCAGGGCCTCTTTTTACAGCTTTATTTTGATTTATCTTATTTTATTAACAATTTTTTGTAAATTTTATTGGTTACTTGATTTAGTGATGACTTTAAGCAGTAACATTCCCATCAAAATGTTTTCAAGCCATCATTAAATCAAGTTACCAATAAAATTTATAGAACTTTGATAAAAAAATAAAATAAATAAATAAAACAAATATATACTAGAATTTTAAGAATAGCTTTTTGGTGAGTTATGGAATTAAAATTTCAGAGCAGACGTAAAATTCTGATGACTTCTTTTCTCCTAAAGAATCAATGATCTGAATCCTAATTTATAAACTATGGCTTGCCTAATATTTTATATTTAATTTACTATGATATTTGAAAACATAATTTTCCAATGACATCAAATAGGACTCTTAGTCATTTTAACAAATTGTAGACCACCTGTTGAGAAACATTGGCTTAAATCAAAGCCATCTGATTCGATTTCTTCATTGGAATTGACTTTTCATTTCATTTAAATTTATATTGTTCATAGTTGATCATTTCTCTTAAATAGTGATGACCTGTGATTTAACTTCTTATTGAACATAGCTCTATGGAAATTCATTTTGTTTTTGGTTTATGAAAGTATGATGTTTATCATAATGAAGCTGCCACTTAAATTGCTTTGTAATATTCATGTATATTTTTTCTTTTATCAATGATTTGAGAGATAACACTCAGTAATAGCTGCTCAAGGTGAAATGTTTCAATTCCTCGATTTAATGAATACTGTTTGTTTGAATCATGCATTAAAACTGTTGAATCATGCAATTAACTGTTTGTTTGATAATATTTATTCATTTTATTATTTTTTTTTTTTTTTAGTTCATAAAGAATGTTGTCCGTGAGCAAGATCTTGCTTTGAAGACTGTACCTATGTTTGAAAAATCTTTGTCTCGAGTACTAAGGGATATCCAAGTTGTAAGAAGGTATCAGAGCTACCAATACTGTTATTCATTGTTTAAATTTTTTTTTTTATATCTTTACCTTAAGCTGCTTTCATTTTATTATTTCTTGATGTTTAACACTTACAAGTTATTGTAATACTAAAGTAATCATTCATTTAGACTTGTTATGTGCAGGATAAAATTAAAAAATGGCTTTTAAAAATTCGGTGTTAAAATAAAATGAGAAAATATTTATTTTCATTTTTTTCTGATATCTTAAATACATTTTCCTCCACTGAATCCTATCTAAACCAAAATTCAAATGGTGAAATATAATACAATCCTTTTTACCTACATCTCGGTTGTTATTTTTTCTTTTTCCTCTTACCGGGCCATTTTTAGCATATTCAAGGAGGAGGTGGGTGGAGAATGAGATGATTGCCTATTCTTACCAGAGTAGTATAGTCAAGATTGCCACAAAGTGATTTTCAACCCATCCAGGTTGTATTTGAATGAATGCTACTTGACTCAAGGCTGCTAAGCTCCACCGCCTCTCCTATATCTCAGTCTTACACTTCTTAATTTACCATCAGTCCATTCCTAATTATTTGTGTAGGCATTTGTTTTTTATTCTACACAACTTTTATATTTAATTTTATATGCCCATTTCAAACATCATTAGGATTTTACTTCAGTTTTGTTTACTGATTTATTTCTCTGAAACGTCATATAGTTCAGCCCTCCAAAATCATTATTTGATTCCTCATTCTTTGGACCAAATATTTTATGCGGAACTTTTTCTTCAAAGATTTGTCGTATTTATATGTAAGTTGCCATATTTCACACATAAAAAGATCAATAGGTGAAGAATGACAATAGTCTTATGGATTTTATCTTTCAGGTTTGTGGGTATTTGGTTTAAACTGAGGAACTTATTTATAACAGCTGAAATCAATCTTTCCACTACTAATCATGTATTAAGTTTTATTTCAAAATATAATTCATCATCTACTTTTATCAACATTACATTTAATTTAATGGTTTCCATCAGGATTTGATAATTATTTTTTACACAAAATAATCGATAATTATTTTTTACACAAAATAATTATTATATTTGATTTTTAATTTAAAAATTGTTTCTGATTTATAAATAAAAATTTATATAATGATCTTTGATGTTTATTTATTCGTTTAAAAATAATGATCACTCACTAATTGATACGGTTTTACATATGTAATAATGATTAAATTGTGATCAAAAAAATTTTGATCAGAAAATAAAAATCATCTTTTAAACATAAATTAAATTAAATATTAATATGTATGTATACGTTATTAATGTACACATTTGTTAATAATATATTTCTGAAATTGCTTTAATTGTGTATGTGGTACCTGCACTAAATATATATATGTACATGTATATATATATTTTTTTTTTTTTGGAAGCCAACATTTCTAATAAATTTCTAAATAAAAATGTTCTGTTTTTAACAGTTTACAGCAATATTCTCCACCTATTACTGAAGACTCAAAATATGTCGTAGAGGTTACAAAAAATTTATATTTCTGATTTAAAAAAGTGTTACTCAAGAATTATTATTATTATCAATTGTAAAAATGTTAAAAAATAATGATCAGGATATGATTTTTATCATTTATAATAAAAAATAAAAATTACTATCAATAAAGATCATCAAATGATTTTTTAAAAAATCCAGATATAAATTTTGATCAGATTTTATTTTATTTTATTTTTTAATTATCAATTTCAAACCCTGCTTTTCATATATTCACTCAACATTATCAAATTATCAGTACAGCTTAACCTAAATCTTTTTTTTTAATATTACTTTTTTTATGATATTTCTCTAAATAAAAAGAATGAGAAATTATCATGTTAAATATTGTAATATGTTTCTTTTGTAAATTAATTATTATAGCAGAGTTTAAATAAAAGATTAGGTAGTTGTGATATCCTAAAAGTTATCTCCATAATTAGAAGTCATATAATTTTCTTTTCATATCTAGTTAAGTATTTTTATAATCATTAACTTCTTTGAGTACAAACCTTATTGTTATGTACAGAAAGTTTCAACCTCGAACAATGGCAAAAACATATGAAGCCAATTTGATTCGAATGACAACCCTACTTAGTGATTATCAGGGCAGAAGAGGTTACCCAAAATCATGGCCTGATACCCTGGCAAAATATGAACTTGTTGTTGAAGCGTAAGTATCATCTTTATATTATTTAATTTCTCAATTCATCTTTCATCTTTTATTGACATCATTATTTAGCTATGTTAATGTTCAGCAGATGTTAGCATGGCATACATAAATGTTGGTACTAATTCACAACAGTTCCGCACGGATTACGCATGGTTCACAATCACTTCGATCACACTTGTTCCTGGAATCCCGAATGCGTTCGTGTTTCTCCGAAAGAGAACGAAGGCAACCGATTTCTTGGGCCAGTTACTATTAACTTTCCTGCCATTTAAGTACTTTAACCTTAACCACGTTCAGTTATATAGCAGGAGCAGATTTACAATCGAAATTTAGGCTACACATCATGAAACCTGAATTGAGCTTGTACATATATTATAGATCTGTAAAAAAGAAATAGTAATACATAAAAATCTTTAATTATTACATCTCTGGCTGCTATTTCACGATATTATTTTTCTTATAGATGATTTCCAATATTCATTATCTTGGAATTATTACATATTCTTCGTCAGTTGTTTCCCAAATACGTTAATTCCTTTCTCGAAAATAAATACTTTTTTTTTTTGTACCATAGCCTACAATAATCCCTTTTTTCGGATTACCAAGAAAAATAACTGCGAATAACAATAATTACACATCATAATTACAAATCAGACAGTATATGCATACAAAGCGCCCCCCTCCACTAGAAAATAGCCCCTCGTATTATTAGAAATCTAAAAAAATTCATAAACTAGATAGACGATTGCGCAATTCTTAAAAAGGCTTGCTAAAATAAATTATAAATTCAATTATTCCAACTTCTATTGGAAAACTCGAATAACAAAAAAAAAGATAATAGATAACTTAAAATTATTTATTATCCAAACGATAAAAAAATCTTTTATACACGGTTATAAAAGATAATATACAGTATATGCGTATTTACAGCCACTACATGTAAACACGTGTCAATAAAAATGTTATTACTAAAAGCTTTTTTTTTTAATATGGCTTGAAGAAACTACTCAAACATTATTTTATGTTTCTTTTTCTTTTTCTTTCAAAGTAATAACCGTTATAATAAAAATTAATAATTAACTAATTAGTAAATACACATTTTTTTAATAAGGAAGTTCCATAAAGGGAATACGTTGTATTTTTTTCAAAAATGCATGAAAAGGGATTGTATTATGGGGCAATAGCTGACGTCATAAAAGACAACATTCGCCTGTTTTCGGTATTCCATGAACAAGTGTGATCGAAGTGATTGTGAACCACGCGTAATCCGTGCGGAACTCTTGTGAACTAGTACCTAAATGTTATTATGTATAGCAGTATAGAATTTTTTTTTTTTTTATTGTGTACTTTAACAAAGAATTCATTTTTAACACTTAGCCCTTTGATAATGAGAGGGATGTGTTAGTGAGGTGATAATTTTGAGAAGAATGATAGTGCCCTGTGACAGAATACTGTCCATGCCTCTCGACCTTCCCTTCATCTTGAGTAATTAAACAAATTTTTCCTGTATTTATGAATGTCATCAATGTTGTTATTGTACTGTATATCTTAACAATAAAATAAAAAAGAAACTTATATAACTAACAATTTTAAAATATTTTCCATGACTTAATTCATTAAATTTATTTATTTCTCACACAAAATATTATTAGGTAATATTTACTTTGTTTCCCACCATCTTTTTTTGATTTGTCACTTTGGATAAAATAATGGTAGAGTTTTCAACATATATAAATCAATTACAATGTTTACATACAAATGTGTCTACTTGCATAATTCTGTTTAATTTTAATATTTACAAATTATTAAATCAGCAAATTTTGTATGTAAAATTCAATAATAAAAAACACTACAAATCATTATACAATGGTTTATAATTTCAAACAATTTAACATCAAAATTAACATTACTTTCCATGTAACATAAAGGAAAATAAATAAAAGGTGACTCCTAATATTGGCCTAAAGATTTTTTTTCATCAATGACAATTTTATAAGAAAAGTAGACAACATTGCTTCAGTTGATGTAAAACTTTCCAAAAAACCAACAATATAAGCTTTGCAGTAGAGCATATGAAAAACATTTAGAACACCATATCTATGTACCAAATTATCCTATTAAGATATTTTATTTTTTAGGAAATTTCATAAACTTTTTAAAAATCGTATAGAACATCAGCAAAAAAGTGTATACTTCTTAAATTATTCGGAAATCTAATCACTCCTCTTAACTTTTTTAAAGCTTTTTTTTTTGTTGAAGTATGTTATATAGATAAATTTAAAGGCCATCGGAAAGAAGACTTTAGTCATGTTTTATTGAAATTGGTACATTCGTGTAAGTGCCACAGCTGTACCAACATAGATTTTTCAGTCGCCATCTTGAAAGGAAAGGGCGGATAGTAAGGTCGAGGTAGGAGCCTTGGACGACCTCTGATGTTGATTTCAAACTAAAAAAAAAATAGCCCAATAGTCTTGAAGAAAAGCTATGGACGGCAGACTGACAAATTTTTTTATTCAATTTTCAAATTCTACTTATAGTAAAACGTTAAACTTCAAATTTTTTAGAGGTTAAATTTTAGAATTTTTCGGACGAATATAATGGTTCATTATTGAAAATAATAAACCAAAATTACAGAAAATACTCATAAGCTTTTAGAGGTAAGACGTATCCAGATTATTTATGATATTTATCTCTACCTTTAATGAATGACAACGTTATACCGGTGAGGCAGTTAAACCTGGGAAGCACTTACAAGGGGAGGCTACTGTAAGTAGATCACTGATTTCAACCAAATACTTTTTTATGATACTGCATTGACAAATATTGGACACATGTCCTTGGGTTTGTTCCAATGGGTCCTAGGAAATGAGAAATTTTTTTTTATTTCTTTCAAACAAAATTTATGTTGATGTCTAGATGGTCCCATATCAATTTTATTAAATTCTAACCAGCACTTCTGATAATGCACGCGCAAACACATTTTTGTAGATATGCCAATATTTCAGAAATGGCTCGTTCGATTTGGCTCAAAATTGGATAAAAGATAGGTGTTTGTGAAAAAATAATGTAGGGTCAATTTTGTTTTAAGTTGACTAATCATTCAATTAGTTGCTTTCTCTTATATATGCGCAAACATGCTTTCCTTGATACACCTATATCTTTAAAACCGCAAGATTTGGCTCAAATTTTGAGGAAATTTAGGGATTGTTAAACGTAAAATGAAATAGGTATCAATTTTATCAAATTCTACCTACTATTTCTAAAAAAAAAAATACTTCTGCTTTCATATTAGGAAATGTGTTATTTGATATGCCTATAGTTTGCAAACGGCACATTCGATTTGACCCTAACTCGGAGGAAATTTGGAGAACAGTATAGAAATTACTTAGTATCAATGTCATTGAATTCCATTTTAATAAATAAAATTAATATAAATAATTGTTAACAATATAATGGCTGCACAATGTTGAAGGCACTGATCATATGGAGTGGGAGTTAGGTTATTAGGTTATTACAATATTATTAAGGGGTTATAAAATTTTAGATTTTATTCAATAAATTAATTGATACTGTATTGTTCGGTCGATTCCTAACGTTACTGGCATGATACTTACTGCCGTTACTTAGATTTCGTGTAATTTTCAATACATTTAAAGTTATTTATACTCTGAATTTGTAAAAAAAAACAATGTCTTATTTGTGATTGTTCTTATTTCCATTGTGGTTTAACCAGATATCCTCCTTAAATATTGAAGTTATGTGAACTTCACCCATATTTTTATATTTTCTAGCTTAAAGCGTTTTGTTCTGATTGAAGGAAAGTATTGGTTTCGTTAACTCCGAGGAAACAATAAGTTGAATTTTTCCCATGGAGTTTCTAGTTCCATCCATTTTACGAATGGAAACATATCTATTAAGTATATATCACTACTATTAGTGTAAAAGATCGTATGTACAAATTTTCAACTTTTATTTTATTTTTGCTAAAGATGATATTTTGTAGTCTGCAACTGATATAAGTAGTCTACTACTATGGAAAATAGCAGATGACAATAAAATGTGAAATTATATTAATAAAGCATAAAGAAATAATGAGTTTTTATGCACTCTTGCAAAACAATCTATTTTTAATTACGACCTTTTGCACTAACAGTAGTGAAATGCATGTTCAGTACTCTTCTTTTTTTTTTTTTTTTTTTTTTATAAATTAAGAATAATCAAATATGGAATCTTCAAATACAGCACTCTTTCGCATTTTAATATTAGCTGATAAACGAAATTCGTGGATATCAAATCCGCGAATGTTGAAGGGTAACTGTATTTCCGAATTGGCTTCTCCCAGAGATTTTATTCTCATACGAAAAATTGTATACTTTATAATATTTTAATATTTTAGCCAATGAAAATGGTGAGGAACCTATTACTGACCTTACTTGGCAGACTTTTTTTTTGTGCAGAATAAAAAAACATATTGGCTATTGTATTAAACGAGTTATAATATATTACAATAACAAAGTCACTTCCATAAAGTAGGCCAAGTAAATTTTTGTTATGAAAAAGCAATTTAAATTCATTTTTATTTTTAGCTTCACCGATCCACATGGAAATCATTAGGTATATAGAGATCTATATGCTACACAAAATGGTACAAAACCAATCTCTGTTAACAAACACTGAATCAAAGATGTAAAATAAAATTGATTGACAAGTTTTTCTTAATTTCTAGTTAAAAAAGGAATGAAATTTAAAAATAATTTATGTGGGTAGGAAGAGCAATAATTCTTCTTTCCAACAGTTGAATATGGAGAAAATCCTGAGAAGTTATGAATGCTTTAGTTATCGGCTGGAAAAAAAATCCTCTATGAAAATGAAGTATTAAACTTAGCAATTTTTTATTTCTAAAAATTCATATATAACATTTTTGCAAACTTGCTGTACTTCTTTTTGTTTTTGTCTTCTCCTTCCTCGCCTCTTTGACTATACAGAGATTTCCCGGGCCAGGGGGTGATGGCAGGAGATTAATGCTAGAGTTAAAAGCCTTCCTGGGCGGGCACCAGGATACAAACTCGTAATTATTTTATCAAATTATTTTTTATCTGGGTTGCCAGCAAGGCGCGGTGCAGTGCACACACTCGGCCACTCTGCCCCTGAATTTTAGTAACAGCAGCTGTTCTAGCAGCTAGATGGAGTACGCTTTAATTTTATAAAGCTTGAGTGGTCTCAGATCCTAGATACAACTGCATATTGTTAAACCCTTGTGGTAAATAATAGAACCATAATTTTCTATTCAATCGTAAATAATAAGTTATTTAATTAATCAGAGCTTAAAATATTTTAAAGAATAGTTAAAATTAATGTTTTAATTTGTTTCAACCATGGTATGTAATAACAAAATATTGCAAGGCAAACATACTACTAAATGTTTAATTCAACCTGCACAATGTATATGGCAGGCATCCACACTTTAGGGTTAAACTCAGGAACAAGTTTATGTTTTCGTCTTAAATAATAATGACACTTATCTGCTGCTAGTGATATTTTGATAGCATCACATAACTATTTCAGGGAATCTGGTCCAATGATGGTCTCTCCTACTGGTCAGTTTATATTACCCTGTTCTTGTCCTGCATTTTTGATAGTCAATTTTATTAGTGAAAATATAAACATTGCTACGGAACTCCTTGACAAGTACCAAATGTGAGTGCTAATTCAATTAAATATTAATATTATTCTTTTCATTTTGTTATAAATCTACTACGGTTAATAACTAATTTGAATTTTTTTGCAGCATGAAAGAAGTTGAAAAAACAATCTATGAAGAATGTATCACTAAGCTAGGTCTTATATCTTTAAAAAAAGATGATTGCATCACTCCAGAGCCTATGATAGCATGTTGTTCGAAATTGTTACAAAATAGGTTTGATATACTTAATCGGTATTGTTAATGAAAATCTTAACATTTTTATTAATAAAGGTTTATGTTTTTTCTAGAAAAGAATTGCGGCCTTTATTAGAAGGAACTGCTCTTACTGTAACAAATTACTACTCTGTTATGTCAGATGGTCAAATATGTATTCCTTGGAATTGGAAAATATGATATTTTGTTGAAGATTGACTCATTAGTTTATGTTATATAAATGCATTAGGATTAGAAAATTCTACTCATACCTAGTCATAATTTTCATAAATAGTTCAATGCTAGTCTACTGAAAATAGTTTTAAGAGATATTAGAAAGAAATTTGTTGTTTTATTTTTTTAAATGGATTTTTGTAATGATCTTTCATGTAAATATGATTGTTTTTCTTTATATATATTTTTTAAGTGATGTTAAGGTTAGAAGTTCTGATGTTCCTATCTCTCTTAATACCGTGAAACCTCTTTTTAATAAATATCTATAGTGTAAATAATTTTGCATTTTGATAATTCCTTACAATCACGGAGGTTGAATACCAATAATACTTAATAATCTCCTGGGGTGCCCAGAAGGGGATATCATAGCACAAGTTGTGCCATTGAAATTTTTGAAGGAGGTAGTTACATTTTTATAAGTTTTGAGGGAGGCACATTTTTAATGGAGTTAAGATTTTTTGGAAGCAACCACATTTTTCGAAATTCCATTTCGAGGAATTTTCAAAGTTGGGAACAAGTGAAAACATGGAACAGACACAGTAGTGTAACTGTAGATGAGCTACAATTTTTCCAACTCTACTTTTATGTTTGTAATGTTTTAAAGACAAGGGCATTAAAATTTCTTGAGATGGGGATTATGCGCCATCGATCTTGGGAAGATGAGCACCCCTGATAATCTCTGTCTACATCTTCCCTTAGGCGTTAAGTGTAGTTGAGTATGCAGACACCGTACATTGAAGTTTCTCTTCTTATTATTCTATAAGGATTTGTCATAAGTAAGAAATTGCATGTAGTTGTACCCAGAAAGCTGATAAATGTAGACTGAAGGGAGTGGGGACTGTAATCTACCACTCTTTATCTAGTCTCTGTAACTCGACTATCTATTGTAGATATTCAAATTTGGTCTCAAATTATTCTTATTCCAATGTTGAGAAAAAAATTGTATCATATCTTTCTGATATTAAGTGAGAAAACTGAGTATAGGAGTTGTACAAAATGTCCTCTAAATATGAATCTCCCACTTATTCTTTATATATTTTTTGTCTGAAAAAAACAACAAATTATTTTTCAATTATTAAAAAGGTTTAGAGAGTGTGATTACTAAATAAATTAAAAAATCATGAATGGTCTTAATTTAAAGCAATCTATACAATATAAAAAACAATTTATATATAATCTCAAATACAAGGGTGGTATTTATGATCCTTAAAAACATTCCTGTTCCTAAATAAGCAATAATAATATTGTGCGTTTATTGCAAAAAGTCATTAAGTAATATTTCATGAAATTAGATCACTAATTACTTTGATGATTTTTCTCTCTGCAAAATCAGAACATTGTATTGTGCACATATTGTTAATATTTTTGATATATAAAAGGGTTTGTGTCTTTTTGCTGTACTTATGTCTTTTTACATAAGTTAATAAGGTTGAAATTCTTAATTTGCTTAACAGTTTAGCACCGTCAAAAATGTACTTAGTGGCTTTTTCAATAAAACCACGATATTAATAATCTTTTCTTTGAAAGTAGCAAAAATAAGATCTTGCTATATAATTAATATATATTTATTATATTGCAAGATCTTATTTCTGTTTATTCCAAAGAAAAGATTATTATTAATTATGAACATCATAGGTTTATTATTGCCATTCAATGAGATAAAATTAAAGTTTCATTTTTTAATAATTGGCTGGTTATTATATTAAAAAAATGATTTTATAATTTATTACAGTTTAATAATTTCAGGATGTCAAATGTACTAAAAATCAAATAAATTAAAGAAGTTTTAAAAGAATTATGTTATTTTCCTGAAGTTATACTCTAATAAATTATTACCTAAGTTTGATATTAGGAATAAATTACGTTTTTATTGTTAGATTTTTAGATAAAACTTTAGTTATTTTACTACTTAGTTTAATTTTTTTAATTTAAATGTAAAAATATGATTTTTCATTCCATTTTAATAAATTTTTAAGGTAAAATTCAGATTGTATATTTGTTTATAAAATTCTCTGTTATGTTGCTTAGTAATGAATTTTTATTGTTAACTCAACACTTTTTATGATGCATTGTATAACTTTTTTTCTATACATGAATTATTTTGAGGTAGTTATTTCTTATTAACCTATTTTTTTGCTCTTTTTCTTCATGAACTATTGTCAATCTTAAATCTAAATGATAAATTTAAGCTTTGTGGTTCTTATGTATCATGTTTTTACTTTAATGTAAGGAAACTATAGTTGCTGGAGGTTACACTGCATCTAGAACCTGAATAAAAACTGGGTCCGGGAGAAAACCCATATTTTATTGTGGTCGGATAAAAAGTTGTTTGAAATAATAACTGAAGTTCATTTTTTTAAAAATTATTTGGTACTTTTCGTCTAAGGGGCCGCTACTGACTGCTATCTGCCAATGTTTATAACCTGAACACTGATAACTCCCATAAAGCACTGATAAGCCTTCTTTTACTTCATATCTACCTATTATTGTATGAAATTTGTATTATTGAAAGTGTAAACAGATACAAAAACAAATTTAATAACAAAAAAAATACTTTTATTTGACGACACATGTATTAATGAAATAATAAAAAAAACACTTTAAGAAGATATGTACATATAAAACATCAAAATGAAATAATAAAAAACACATTTAAAAGAACATATTTACATAGAAAAGAAAAAATATAAAACGAAATCGGTTTTATAAAAAGATAAAACATTCATCTGTTTCTCGACAAACTCCACCAAACATCCACTGCTGAGATAAAACTCTCCCCACATGATTTTTTCGTTTAGAAAAAAGACTTTCTTTTACTTCAACCACTTTTCCAGGTCCTCCAATTTTTTTTCTTGGCCTGTATAACATGTCATGGGCACAAACCTCTCTTAGACATTTGTTCCACGTTACCATAGCTCTGTTGAATAGTTTCAGCTGCTCTTTGGCCCACTTCATCGTTGTCAAGCTATGGGACCATCCATAAATCAATTTTAAAGCTGTTAAAAACGAAATCCTCGAGCCCTCCAACCATGTTCCTTTCCTTATTGAAAGTTTTGTGTCATAAGTCCTACGAAAGCATCTCCATTTGGCCTTCCTGGTTGACTTCATTCGATGACGTCGATTCAAGTCGGCAACTACCCCAACATTTTAAAAATATTGAAGTGCCTGTTCTTCTGAAGGCGTCAAATTCCATATTCTAAGAAGATCCATAATATGACGAAAAGAAACACAAAGGGGCCACAAACTAAAAAAAAGTAAAATAAACACAAACGGGCCAAAAACTAAAAATAATGAAAAACAAACACAAACGGACCAAAAGTAAACAATTTAATAAGTGAACGTAATAAGGGAATAACTGAAAACTAAACAATGCAATAACTGAAAGGGGATAAGAAGAGGGAGGTTATGTGACGTGACGTTTGATTAGATAGATAAGAGGTGAGGTTTCAGACCGGCCTGCTAGACTAAAAGTACCAATTATTTTTCCTCCATCATGTATTTCGCTGGTGAGACTCGATTCTGAGTCAGTTGGAACAAACTGCGACAGGAACCCAAACCTTCGCATCTCATGGTGGCCCAAAACCTACTTCACTTCACACTATGAACCAACTTTTGTTCTTACATTCTATTCTTTTTTTACAAAATCTCGCCGTGCGCCAAAAGGCCTGGCGCAAGTTGATCTATTGCCTGTTGAGGTGGGTTGATATGACAAACCGTAAGATTAATAAAAATGGTCTTGATAATAACTTATTTAATATCACATTAGAAAATTCGTCTATGAGGATGAATTCTGTCTATATTTTTCTTTTCTTTAAATTGCTGCATTTTGGAACTTTCGGATATTTTTTCCACCATCTAAAGGAGGGCATGACCCCTGGCAGAATTCGCTAGTGCTGGTCAGGATAATAATTTTTTTTAATATATATTACATTATAAAAATCGCCTATGAGGATGAATTTTCCCTATATTTCTTTTTTCTTTAAATAGCTTCTTTTTGAAACTTTTTCTCCACCATCCAGAGGAGAGAGGGGCATGCCCTCTGGCTGGATCCTTTAGTACATGTCAGGATAATAATTTTTTTTTTTTACATCACATTAGAAAATGCATCTTAGAGGATGAATTTTTCCTATATTTCTCTTTTCTTCAAATAGGCGTTTGATTTTTTTTTTTCCAGCACTCAAAGGAGGGCGCGCCCTCTGGCAGAATTCGCTAGTGCTGGTCACGAGAATAATTGTGTTTTACTTTCACTTACGTATATATGTAATATATAGTAAGAGTAAGTATTGCCGTCGTGAAAATTTTCGAATCTGAGTTTTCAACGTAAATACACGTTTTGAGGTACCCTGAGTCCAAATAACCAAGTCCCGAAAAATGGTCTGTGTGTATGTGAACACTCCAGCTCGAAAACGAAAAGTCGTACGAAACTGATATTACGTATTTAAGATAGGTATATGCCTTAGATGTCCTAGCAACTTTTTCCTTAAAATCGGCTAACCGGAAGTGCCACTTTATATCAACGCTGAAACACATTTTTACAATTTTCTCAAAAACGGCTCTAACGATTTTGATTAAACTCGGTGTATCATTGTATAATTAAGTGGTCTTTAATATCATTAGGTCTTATCCCCGTTGATGTCACTTTACATGGCTTAAATGCCCAATGTTCATATACGTCTTCCTCTAAAGTACCTTTAATATGGTTCATTTCAAATAATTAACTATCTCTCCTTGTTAAAAGTTACGAAAAAATGCTTATCCAGTTCGAAAATGAATCTCCGAAAATGCTAGTCAGAAGTATACGTATAATATATCGTTGGAAAGTGGAGAATTTTAGAAAAAACAATATCTGATATAGAAAGTTGTAAAAGATAACGGAGAGTGGCGAAAAATTATAAATAATCATTTTTTAAAACTAATAATATTTAACGCAAATCACATGTTTTCAAGGAAATTAAATGAAATTTACT